TGTATATCAGTATGTAGTGTCTCTACTTTAAAGAGTCCTCTCCTGCTGAAGTTCAGGTGTATATCAGTATGTAGTGTCTCTACTTTAAAGAGTCCTCTCCTGCTGAAGTTCAGGTGTATATCAGTATGTAGTGTCTCTACTTAAAAGAGTCCTCTTCCGCTGAAGTTCAGGTGTATATCAGTATGTAGTGTCTCTACTTTAAAGAGTCCTCTTCCGCTGAAGTTCAGGTGTATATCAGTATGTAGTGTCTCTACTTTAAAGAGTCCTCTTCCGCTGAAGTTCAGGTGTATATCAGTAGTGTCTCTACTTAAAAGAATATCCTAAACATGTACAAAACATTTGTAAAAAAATTACCGAAACATGTAAGAAAATTGAGAAATTATATTCCCAAAAAATGTCCCAGAAATGTGATGTTCTTTTTTTTAAAAGTCCAAAATATGTGTGATAAATGTTGGCAGAAGCATCAAATAATGTTTTGGAAAATCCATGAACGAAAAATGTGGGAAAAATATGAAAAATGTCCAAAAAACATTCTAAAGAAATTTTTGGGGGAATTTAGAAGATGCCCAAAATATTATATAAATGGGGCGAAGCCTGCGAGCTAGTTCAGGCAGTCAACTCGAGCACTTGTGCTGCATTCATACAAAACGCCCCTCGCCACTCTACAACCAACCAAACAGAGTCTCCTTAATATGCCGCTCTATTTAACCTGCCAGATCTCTCTATGCATTGCTTGCTGCTGCTACTTCCACGTCGCTGCTGCTTGCTGCCCCCCCACCACCCCAGCTTCCACCTGTAGGCTCTTAGTTAGTTAGTTATTTAATCATCACTCATCGTGCTATGTATATCTGTGGAGTGATGGGGCCCGAGCCTAGACGCCAAACTATATGCTGCTTCTAATAAACATGTTAAAGAAATACGTGAGTTGTCTGACTGAAATGTATTAAAGATATGATTTTAAAGAATGTGCAAAAAAGTGTTCATAAATGCACATTTTCTTGAATATTTTCTAGAAAAGTTGTAAAATAAATGCTGATATTTATATGAAAAAAATATGAAAAAAGTGCTGAAAAGTTCCAATTAATATATTGGAACAATTAGTAAAACAAAAGTCAAAATATTAAAAAAGTTAAATATCGCTTGGTTTCTTCTGAAGAACGTCCGAAAAATCACTGAAAAATATTTGTTTGAACTAACGTAATTTCTTAAAAGTACTAATTTAAGTAATTTAATTAGCTTGCATAACCTTTTAGCTTTGTCAAGATGTAATTTATATGAAGCATTTAAAGAAATGGCAAGAAGTAGAAGCACCGACGCAGATCCATGACATCACATTTAGACGTTTTAACGTTTTTAGGATGAGGTTTGGTTTGAGCTGCTCTGCATGTCTCTCTGATGTGAACTCATTCATATTCTGCCAACACGAGCAGCCTGCAAACACACACACACACACACACACACACACACACACACACACACACACACACACACACACACACACACACACACACACACACACACACACACACACACACACACACACACACACACACACACACACACACACACACACACACACACACACACACACACACACACACACACACACACACACACACACACACACAGGGATGTTCAGTTTGACTCCAGTAACATGGGGTTTAAAGCCAATTCAGTCGCAAAGACTCAACATTCATTAAGTAGACATTTTGCCATTTCTAATGTTGGCAAAACATGTTCAAAATAAATTTGTAAGACAAAAAACATTAATATTTCTTCCAAAAATACATTTAAAAATTCAAAATAATTACTGAAATAAACTTTTAAGTACTGAAAAATATCCAAATAATATTAATGAAATAAAAAAAGTTTTAAGGAATGTCTCAAAAATATCCAACCATATGTCAAAAAATGAAACTATATGAAAATGTAATGTACATTTTTTTTTTCAAGACATTTCAAAGCTTAAACAAAATATGTAAGGAAATAAAGGGAAATGGTACATTTCCAAAACATCTGAGAGTTTAAATGAAAATGAACAAATTAATAATTTAAAGGTCTCCTATTCTGCAAAATCCACTTCTCCATGTCTCTTCTACATCAACATGTGTCCCCTCTGTGGAAAGAGACTCTCTCTTCACACAGAGGGGACACGTGTCTCTTCTACATCAACATGTGTCCCCTCTTCTTCATGTCTCTTCTACATCAACATGTGTCCCCTCTTCTCCATGTCTCTTCTACATCAACATGTGTCCCCTCTTCTCCATGTCTCTTCTACATCAACATGTGTCCCCTCTTCTTCATGTCTCTTCTACATCAACATGTGTCCCCTCTTCTTCATGTCTCTTCTACATCAACATGTGTCCCCTCTTCTTCATGTCTCTTCTACATCAACATGTGTCCCCTCTTCTTCATGTCTCTTCTTCATCAACATGTGTCCCCTCTTCTTCATGTCTCTTCTTCATCAACATGTGTCCCCTCTTCTTCATGTCTCTTCTACATCAACATGTGTCCCCTCTTCTTCATGTCTCTTCTTCATCAACATGTGTCCCCTCTTCTTCATGTCTCTTCTACATCAACATGTGTCCCCTCTTCTTCATGTCTCTTCTTCATCAACATGTGTCCCCTCTTCTTCATGTCTCTTCTACATCAACATGTGTCCCCTCTTCTCCATGTCTCTTCTACATCAACATGTGTCCCCTCTTCTTCATGTCTCTTCTTCATCAACATGTGTCCCCTCTTCTCCATGTCTCTTCTACATCAACATGTGTCCCCTCTTCTTCATGTCTCTTCTACATCAACATGTGTCCCCTCTTCTTCATGTCTCTTCTACATCAACATGTGTCCCCTCTTCTTCATGTCTCTTCTACATCAACATGTGTCCCCTCTTCTTCATGTCTCTTCTTCATCAACATGTGTCCCCTCTTCTTCATGTCTCTTCTTCATCAACATGTGTCCCCTCTTCTTCATGTCTCTTCTTCATCAACATGTGTCCCCTCTGTGTAAAGAGACTCTGAAAGTTTCAGGAACAAAGATTCTCTCTCTTTTTGATCCATTTCTATAAAAACCTGTCTGAAAATGAGCTGATCAGATTTTGGCCACTTTATGATGTCATAACGATGTTTTGTCTTGTGTAACCATTAGCCAATCAGCAACCAAGGTAACCCCCCCCCCCACCTTATCACCTGAATCTCCTCCTAGAGCACCAATAGGCGCTTTCACACCGCAGTACTTTCCCACAAAGGTTCATCAGAACTTCGTTCCATGAGAACTCATGAACTAAGTACAGATCGCGTTCACACCGGAATAAGTTCCTGGGGAAGGATTAGCCAAATGAGCCGCTGACGTCACTTCGTCTTCTTCTGCTTTGGGTTTACTGGCAGGCCGCAAACGACTTCACGGCGTATACTGCCACCCGGAGTCCCCGGCCGGAAGTCCCCGGAGTTGGGGAAAGCTTCAGTAGAAGCTGCTGGGACTCCCAGCAGCTTCTACTGAAGCCTTCAGAGTAAATCGCCAGAACGCCGACACCTCCTCATCTCCACCGCTCCCATGTTTTCTTTTGTGTTGCCATAAGTTAGTCTCTCTGCGTTTCTGCGCTGGGCTAATGCTAATGCTAATAATGCTAATGCGAGGATAATAAAATGGCGGCTTCACACAACTTTTTGGGAGTTTTACGGAGCGTGGTTTGCAATCCGCCCAGCCAATCAGACATAGGAACCTTTTTCTCCCACGAAAGTCCCTGCTCTCTAGCAGGGACGGAAAAGGGGGTGAAAAGGTTCTTAGGAATTTTAGTTCCGGCTCTTTTTGGTGTGAACGCGACATTTCGGAACTATATCGGGAAAAGTACTCCGGTGTGAAACCGCCTAGTGAGTTATTTTCATCTAAAGTATCGGGGTGTTTCTCAATAGCGAGTACGCTTGCTTGGTAGCACATGTCTGCCGAGCATCTTGCTTCAGAAGCGAGTCAAGAATCCTTCCTGGCATTCGGAAAACGAAGAGTGGAACAGGCTAGCAAGTGTGCAGGTGTGCGTCATATGAGAGGCCCCGCCTCTTACATCTTCCGCCACAGATTTGGGGAAATTGGTCCGTGCGCAAAGCATTGTGGGGATTTTAAGACCGCGGAGTCTACTCATGTGCAGCCTCGATATTTCTCCAAACGGAGTACGCCGGGCTCGGTAGATTTCCAAGTATGCTGGAGATTGGAACAGTACTTCGGCGGCACTCGATGACGTAGTATGCTTGAAATAGTGGCTCTGAAGCAGCTTTACTCGAGATTGAGAAACACCCACAGACAGAGAATCAGCACTTTGGAAACAGGGCTGAAACAGAGGGGATTATGGGATGCTGCAATGATCTGTTTGGTGTTTCAGCCAATCAGAGACAGGCTCTGGATATATCTGAGACTTGTGATATATTGACGAAAGACAGGATAATAGGGGACCTTTAAACAAATAATAATTAAAATGTTTAAAAAAAGTCAAATACACGTGAGAAATATCACAAAACACTAAATGACAGAAATGCTGTTATTTTATCCCACAGAGGAATTATCAGAAGAATAATCCTGTTTTCCTGTCAGCGTACATTTTCGAGATATTTCCACTTAAAATCTGCGTGAAAAATAAATGAAAAAAACCATAAAAACTAAAATATTTAAATAAATCTCACAGAAACATCTGATCCTCCTCCAGGTTTCTGACAACGACATTAAAAACATGAGATTAATGAACAACTGTTTCCTGTCGGCATCAAATTAACGGCTCAAATATCATCCATCAATATATTAATCAAAAGCAGAAGAAGACGTCACACACACACACACACACGCACACACACACACACACACACACACACACGCCTACACGCCTACACACACACGCCTACACATACACACACACACACACACACACACACACACCACACACACACACACACACACACACACACATACACACACACACACACACCGTGTTTTAAGGTTCGTCTCCCCCATTGACTCACCTCGTTCCTTTATCTCCCATCCTGACGAGCCGACAGAGAGGGAGGCCGTCTCCGTGGAAACTGAGGGAGGATCTCTCCCTCCTCCCCCCCGACAGGAAGTCGTCAGACTCTCAGGAGGAGGTTTCCCTCCCCCTCCTCTCGCTCTAATTCACCTCCCTCCCTTTTCTCCCTCCCTCCTGTCTCTCCTATTCACCTCCCTCTTTTCTCTCCCTTTCCTCCCTCTTTTCTACATAGTATCCCCCGTTCCTTCCTCTATCCTTAAAATCCCTCTGTTCACAATTCAGATTTTTTCTCAAAATTCTGACTTTTTTCTCAAAATCTAAATTTACTGACTTTTGTTAAAAAGGTTTTTGTAAAATTCGGACTTTTTCTCAAAATCTGAAAATTCGGACTTTTTTCAAAAAATTCGGACTTTTTTCTCCAAAATTTAAAATGTTTCACTCTTTCTAAAAATATAGACTATTGTTCTGAAAATCCGGACTTTAAAAATTCTGACTATTTCTGTGAATCTAAAAAGCAGTAATTCAATGAGTTAAACTGTCATTGGGTTTATCTTTGAGGTACTTTGTATGTCCTGCTCCTGTTCACTTCTTAGTTTAGCTTCTTCAGTGGCTCGGGGTAGCAGCTGGTTACTCCATAACGACCTCGTGAATAAACTCGTTAATGTGTGAAAACGCCCGGAGCTCCATCATCGCTGTCACGTCAAACCTTTAAATATTTATGACAAGAGATTAAAATGTATTAATACATAAAAATAGGTACGAATATGAGACGGGCTGAAGGTGAGAAAGCATTTTATTAGACAGAATGTAAACATTAGAAATATATCAGACAGTCTTCACTCAGTATTAATATTTCATGACATAAGTTCAGAGACAAACTGTTTTTAAGGAAATCATATTCAGTATTGATAAAAAGGTAAATCTGGGGCGACAGCTAGCTAGCTATCTTACATTACATTACATTACATTACATTACATGTCACTTGTTAGACGCTTTTATCCAAAGCGACTTACATAATAATTTGGGGTGAAGTGTCTCAGGGACACAACGACATGCTGACTGCAGTTGGGTTTGAACCTGTGCTCCCCTGATCCCAACACCAACGCACTAGCCCACTGCGCCACATGCCTGCTATCTAACTTTAAAAAGAGCTAAACGGACCTTTCATGTCTCTAGATGAACAAATATTTATAAATATTATGTTTCTTGTTTACCCCTCTGGCAGTGAGAGTTATTATAGAAACTTTGCTTTTTGTAAAACGAAATCTTCCTAAATATAACTTATCTTCCAACCCAGTCTCACAGAAAACGTGTAATAGCGACGTTGGTCCACAGGGCAACACGTAGTATATTCACAAAAAACCCTCTCAAGACGTGACATGGATACAATATTTTGTAAAGAAAAACACATGGAGCTCAAATAATCTTGTTAATATCTATCAAACTAAAGATCCTACACATCCACTGGACGTAGATTCTAAAAGCACAATATAAACTTCTCGCTAAATGTAATCAAAAAGCATTTTAACGCCAAACTAACTATGTTTTTTTTTCTCAGTGGGAAAGTTTGCGATCACGTGACATGGTCATTAGAAATGAATAAGAACAAATATTGTATCCATGTCTTGAGAGGGTTATTTGTGAATATACTACGTTTTGCCCTGGACCAACGTCGCTATTACACGTTCTTTTGTGAGACTGGGCTCTATCTTTTAAGACGCTGCTAGCGCTAAGCCGGATGAGCTAACAGTATCCGAACAGGAGTGAAAGATTGGGGGTGAATCCCAGCTGTTATCAGTGGTGGACTGGCCGATGGGCCGGTACCGGAGTGGGTCGGTTGGACGATGTGAGCCGGTTGGATAAGTCACTAGCACCCCCCTCCCTTGACAATTTACTAGCTGTATTTACTTGCGGTACCGAGGTGGGCCGGCGGTACCGAAGTGGGCCGGTCGAGAGTCCCGGGCTGATTTTTAGTCCCAGTCCGCCCCTGTCTGTTATTACTGTTGTTACAAAAGCCCCTATCTGCTTACATCCCACAATATACAGCTGTATCGGTGTTGTTTTTACAGACAGTTTGTCTCTGAGCTCAGGACAGTTTGTCTCTGATCTCAGGACAGTTTGTCTCTGAGCTCAGGACAGTTTGTCTCTGAGCTCAGGACAGTTTGTCTCTGATCTCAGGACAGTTTGTCTCTGATCTCAGGACAGTTTGTCTCTGAGCTCAGGACAGTTTGTCTCTGATCTCAGGACAGTTTGTCTCTGAGCTCAGGGCAGTTTGTCTCTGAGCTCAGGACAGTTTGTCTCTGAGCTCAGGACAGTTTGTCTCTGATCTCAGGACAGTTTGTCTCTGAGCTCAGGACAGTTTGTCTCTGAGCTCAGGACAGTTTGTCTCTGATCTCAGGACAGTTTGTCTCTGATCTCAGGACAGTTTGTCTCTGATCTCAGGACAGTTTGTCTCTGAGCTCAGGGCAGTTTGTCTCTGAGCTCAGGACAGTTTGTCTCTGAGCTCAGGACAGTTTGTCTCTGAGCTCAGGACAGTTTGTCTCTGATCTCAGGACAGTTTGTCTCTGAGCTCAGGGCAGTTTGTCTCTGAGCTCAGGACAGTTTGTCTCTGAGCTCAGGACAGTTTGTCTCTGATCTCAGGACAGTTTGTCTCTGAGCTCAGGACAGAGAATCAGGACATTTTAACAGCTTTTTCCCTAATTCATAACAAATGAAAGTTCCCTTTTAAAATCCCTGAAGCTGAACATTAAGCAAACACAAACATTCCCCAAATAAATAACACGAAAACTGAACAACAGAGCGTTCCTGTTAGCTTAACAATTTTTGATCAGTATTTTCAATTTCTCAATAAAGCAATTCGGTCGCCAGCTGTTGTGTCATCCTCTTTGATAAACACGTTAAAAAATATATTAATTATATGAATACTTGACGGCCTGTAGAGTCACTGAAACCGTGTTAGTAATTTACTTCAAGAACATAGTGACATCACTACGGAACACTCGCGCTCCTATTGGCTCCAACACATTGTAGATGATAGGCTAAGGGGGCGGGACATCTCTAAGCTGGTTGACCAATCACAACAGAGCCGGCCAGCTAACCAATCAGAGCAGACTTGGCTCTGGTTTCAGACAGAGGGTGAAAAGAGGTGCTGCAGCACAGGCAGTATGAGAACAATAAAGAGCACCACAATTATTTTATTTTCAATATTTTCTTTTGCTGTTTGTTTTTCTACGTCATTTAGCAGCGTCGGCATTTCATTTCAAACCAGGTAAAACTTCTTGTAGTAACCCCTTTTTAAAAAAACATTTTATCTTTATTGTTGTTGTTTGTATTAATGCTCCCCAGTTATTTCACAAAATGCAACAAAAGCAGGAAGTTCCACATCCCTTTATCCAATCAACACACAGCTTAAAGGTCCCCTATTATGCTGTTTCTCATCAATATATCACAGGTCTCAGATATATCCAGAGCCTGTCTCTGATTGGCTGAAACACCAAACAGATCATTGCAGCATTACCCATAATCCCCTCTGTTTCAGCCCTGTTTCCAAAGTGCTGATTCTCTGTCTGTTACTTTAGATGAAAATAAGGAGCCCCTCCCCACGCCCCTCTGAGAGAGATTAGGTTACAAAGAACTCAATGGTGGTCTAGGAGGAGATTCAGGTGATAAGGGGGGGGGGGGGGGGTTACCTTGGTTGCTGATTGGCTAATGGTTACACAAGACAAAACATCGTTATGACATCATCAAGTGGCCTAAATCTGATCAGCTCATTTTCAGACAGGTTTTTATAGAAATGGATCAAAAAGAGAGAGAATCTTTGTTTCTTTCAGAGTCTCTTTCCACAGAGGGGACACATGTTGATGAAGAAGAGACATGAAGAAGAGGGGACACATGTTGATGAAGAAGAGACATGAAGAAGAGGGGACACATGTTGATGTAGAAGAGACATGAAGAAGAGGGGACACATGTTGATGTAGAAGAGACATGAAGAAGAGGGGACACATGTTGATGTAGAAGAGACATGAAGAAGAGGGGACACATGTTGATGTAGAAGAGACATGAAGAAGAGGGGACACATGTTGATGAAGAAGAGACATGAAGAAGAGGGGACACATGTTGATGAAGAAGAGACATGAAGAAGAGGGGACACATGTTGATGAAGAAGAGACATGAAGAAGAGGGGACACATGGTGATATAGAAGAGACATGAAGAAGAGGATTTTGCATAATAGGTGACCTTTAAAAAAAAAAGACAGATTATTTTCCTCGTTAAGGTGCGTTGTGTTGCGATGACCGTTTTATTAGAAGTCCCTCCAGAGGACGGCCCGACGACTTAGGTCCACACTGACGACGTATTCGCCCGACGGAGACCAGGAGACAGCGCTGATGGACGTACTTCAAAGAGAAGACGGGTTATTAAAGGAGCAGTACAACAGTTTCTGAACTCTGTACGGTTAAATAAAGAAAAACGTCGTAAATCTTTCATTATCTCCTGGAGTTCCTCAGGGAAGCGTCCTGGGGCCTCTGACTATTTTTATTTAACCTTTTTCTATTTCTTTTTAAAATGTATATATTCAGTAAAACGTATTAAATAATAAAAACCACTTATAAATATATAGTTATTTATTACAAATAACACTAGGAATTCCTCAGGGAAGCGTCCTGGGCCCTCTAATCTTTCGATTTAACCGTATAAGGACCAAATGGAACTTTTATAAAATCCTCAGAACGTGTTAGATTTTTTCTTGTTACCTGTGTTTGTCGGGGAGGCGGGTCTCCAGGTTGCCGGTGGAGACGTTCCAGATGTAAACTGCACCGTCAGCTGATCCGGCGGCGAGGAAGCAGCCGTCTGGACTGAAGACAGGAAGAGACGTTAAGTCACCTTTAATCACGATAGGTATTTTTATTCCAATGAAACGGCCCAAAGCTGATGTTAGCTAGCCTTGCGTCAACTTTCTAAGTGCATAACAGATGGGTTGCACAGAGCTACTTTAGCTAACGTTGTGTGGCAAATTCAATCGCGAGGAAGCCCGGCGCTGCTATATGTGGTCTATACTAAAAATAAATGTATCAGCCTGTTGTTGTTAGCGTATGCATTAGCTTTGTAGCTCGCATTCTACAATTTGTCCGAGTTCTAGTTGCACACAGCTGGAGACCAGGGGACACTAAAGAGTAACTTTTTAGTGTCCCCTGGTCTCCAGCTGTGTGCGTCACTATTTAGTGTCCCCTGGGTTGCGTTCGAATACTCCAAAAAAACAGCTCCTAAGTTCTAACCCTATCGTCTATTCCTTGACCTCGGAGTGAAACGTCATGGGGTTAAGGGATAGTGGATAGGAGAATTCAAAAGGATTTAGGAGAAGAGACTGCGGCACTTTAGAGAATCCGACTGCACTTTCACTATCCGACGTGTTTATGATGCGCCAGCAGAGGTCATAAATGTGCGCCTGCTGCTGTGGGGAAACTATGGAAACTACAGTTTTCTATACAGCGGACTACAACATGGATGTTTAATAAGAACGAGGGACTACTGTAAACTCATCTAGAGACTCTGCACCGTGCTCTGATGCTGTTGTTTTATGCTTTATGAACGGGGACAACAGAGAAACATATTCTTCATGACCAAAGTTGAAATTGAAATAAAAAAGGAAAGTGAAACTTATGCTCGTCACCCTCTCCCTCCGGTCCACATTAATACAAATGATCCCAATACATATGATTGTATGAAAAGATCTTAAAATCAATACAAATGTATTTATTATAAACGTTAGTCCTTAACATCTATCACTGTGTATATCACCATTCAAACATCTTTTAAAAGTTGAACAAACCCCACACAGCTCAGTAAAGACTGTGAAATGTTGACTTTATTTGATCATTTCAGTAAAAACTAACGTTCATATTTCTCTTTTTGATTATAATACTGATGAACGTTCAAAACAAAGCACTTTGGCAACTTACCACATACGTTTTAAAATGCTTAATAAGCACCGTAACTTTCATGATATCATTTCTCGTTCATAATCGGTTGTTTCCGTGAACGGCCGACTGTTGTGTGACGGCAAATGCTGCGGCCGCAAGGCATTGTGGGGCAGCATTTTCTCCTCTCCTTTCGGTTAGGGAGGTCCAGTGGTTCCTAGGCTAAAGGAGGTTATAAAGGAAGTTTGAAACCTCCTTTCCTTTTAATTTAGAGAATTCGAACGGCACTTATCATGGCTGCCACTGAGGGACTTCCGGGTCATTTCACTCCGTTAGGAAGGTTCCTAAGCTAAATGGACTATTCGAATGCAACCCAGGGTTGCATTCGAATAGTTCGAATTCTCTAAATTAAAAGGAAAGGAGGTTTCAAACTTCCTTTATAACCTCCTTTAGCCTAGGAACCACTGGACCTCCCTAACCGAAAGGAGAGGAGAAAATGCTGCCCCACAATGCCTTGCAGCCGCAGCATTTGCCGTCACACAACAGTCGGCCGTTCACGGAAACAACCGATTATGAACGAGAAATGATATCATGAAAGTTACGGTGCTTATTAAGCATTTTAAAACGTATGTGGTAAGTTGCCAAAGTGCTTTGTTTTGAACGATCATCAGTATTATAATCAAAAAGAGAAATATGAACGTTAGTTTTTACTGAAATGATCAAATAAAGTCAACATTTCACAGTCTTTACTGAGCTGTGTGGGGTTTGTTCAACTTTTAAAAGATGTTTGAATGGTGATATACACAGTGATAGATGTTAAGGACTAACCGTTATAATAAATACATTTGTATTGATTTTAAGATCTTTTCATACAATCATATGTATTGGGATCATTTGTATTAATGTGGACCGGAGGGAGAGGGTGATGAGCATAAGTTTCACTTTCCTTTTTTATTTCAATTCCAACTTTGGTCATGAAGAATATGTTTCTCTGTTGTCCCCGTTCATAAAGCATAAAGCAACAGCATCAGAGCACGGTGCAGAGTCTCTAGATGAGTTTACAGTAGTCCCTCGTTCTTATTAAACATCCATGTTGTAGTCCGCTGTATAGAAAACTGTAGTTTCCATAGTTTCCCCACAGCAGCAGGCGCACATTTATGACCTCTGCTGGCGCATCATAGACACGTCGGATAGTGAAAGTGCAGTCGGATTCTCTAAAGTGCCGCAGTCTCTTCTCCTAAATCCTTTTGAATTCTCCTATCCACTATCCCTTAACCCCGTGACGTTTCACTCAGAGGTCAAGGAATAGACGATAGGGTTAGAACTTAGGAGCTGATTTTTTGGAGTATTCGAACGCAACCCTGGTCTCTCCAGCTGTGTGCGTCACTATTTAGTGTCCCCTGGTCTCCCAGCTGTGTGCGTCACTCTTTACTGTCCCCTGGTCTCCCAGCTGTGTGCGTCACTCTTTAGTGTCCCCTGGTCTCCCAGCTGTGTGCGTCACTCTTTACTGTCCCCTGGTCTCCCAGCTGTGTGCGTCACTCTTTAGTGTCCCCTAGTCTCCCAGCTGTGTGCGTCACTCTTTAGTGTCCCCTGTTCTCCCAGCTGTGTGCGTCACTCTTTAGTGTCCCCTGGTCTCCAGCTGTGTGCGTCACTCTTTAGTGTCCCCTGTTCTCCCAGCTGTGTGCGTCACTCTTTAGTGTCCCCTGTTCTCCCAGCTGTGTGCGTCACTCTTTAGTGTCCCCTGTTCTCCCAGCTGTGTGCGTCACTCTTTAGTGTCCCCTGTTCTCCCAGCTGTGTGCGTCACTCTTTAGTGTCCCCTGGTCTCCAGCTGTGTGCGTCACTCTTTAGTGTCCCCTGTTCTCCCAGCTGTGTGCATCACTCTTTAGTGTCCCCTGTTCTCCCAGCTGTGTGCGTCACTCTTTAGTGTCCCCTGTTCTCCCAGCTGTGTGCGTCACTCTTTAGTGTCCCCTGGTCTCCAGCTGTGTGCGTCACTCTTTAGTGTCCCCTGGTCTCCCAGCTGTGTGCGTCACTCTTTAGTGTCCCCTGTTCTCCCAGCTGTGTGCGTCACTCTTTAGTGTCCCCTGGTCTCCCAGCTGTGTGTGTCACTCTTTAGTGTCCCCTGGGTCTCCCAGCTGTGTGCGTCACTCTTTAGTGTCCCCTGGTCTCCCAGCTGTGTGCGTCACTCTTTAGTGTCCCCTGGTCTCCCAGCTGTGTGCGTCACTCTTTAGTGTCCCCTGGTCTCCCAGCTGTGTGCGTCACTCTTTAGAGTCCCCTGGTCTCCCAGCTGTGTGCGTCACTCTTTAGTGTCCCCTGGTCTCCCAGCTATGTGCGTCACTCTTTAGTGTCCCCTGGTCTCCCAGCTGTGTGCGTCACTCTTTAGTGTCCCCTGGTCTCCGTTGTGTTTGAGCTTCTTCAGCGTTTGGTTTCTGCAGCTTGTAGTAAACGCTGCCATGTCTCCTCAAGCTGCTGAATGTTCTCTAAACGCTGCACGTGTTGTTGCTGAAGATGTTTCTTCATTTGTTTTGATTTGTGTTTTTATATCTGCATCCTTTCTGAAGCTGCATCGTGTTTCTACTAATGCAAATGTTCTGGGTCGTTGTAGCGTGTTTGCACCTGTTGGCCACCGTACTTATGGCATAACAAGATACATATGAGGTCATTTTAAAACGTTAAAATGGGGTATAGACGATCACATTTTAAAAAGATACGCATTTGATTTTTTCCAGGAAATGGGCAGGGAGGTTTGTGCCCTGAGAGATTAATTCTTCATCTCCTGGATCCAACAGAGTTTACCAGCTGGGAACCCTCAACTGTGTGTGTGTGTGTGTGTGTGTGTGTGTGTGTGTGTGTGTGTGTGTGTGTGTGTGTGTGTGTGTGTGTGTGTGTGTGTGTGTGTGTGTGTGTGTGTGTGTGTGTGTGTGTGTGTGTGTGTGTGTGTGTGTGTGTATTTTAATGTTTCTGTGCAGACAGCACATCCTGGTCCAGCCGTTGTCAAGGAAACTGCAGAAAATGAGCCCCGCGGGTCCCCCCCCCCCTAGATTTCTGCAGTAATGTTTTGTTTCAGAGGCACACGCATGGAATCAGATTATGATAATAATAATAATAATAAGCATTTTATTTTGTGTTTTTAAGGTAATAATGCACATTTAATAGACGGTAATTTTAAAGTAAGTATTTGACGAAGGTAAGTTATAATGATGTCATGATGTGTTCAAGTGCAACCTTGTAAAATGCAGATTTTGGTGATAAACTTGAATAAATCCAGATTTTTAAAGTAGATGTTTTGGTTAGTTTGCACGGCTGCATAAAGACAGGAATATAAGTGGAATATGAATTCTCCATGTCAACATCTCAGTGGGAATGTGTTATTTCCCGACGGCCCCTGAACTCACCTGATGACAGCCTTCGTGCTGTCGCTGCCACATTTAAACCCGTCAGCTCTAAAAGAGAGAAAAACAAAAACACTGAGAAACTGTGTCATCACAAACAAACACAAAGTTACGGATTAAAACGGCGGTACCTGAAGCAGACACGCTCGTAGCTCCGCCCCCTCAGGTCGATCAGCTGGAGGCAGTCGTCACGGCAACAGCTGAGCAGATGGCGATGGTCGGGGCTGATGTCCAGAGACGTGACTTTCCCATGGGCGGGAAGTTCCTGAATGCATCGCACCGCCCTGCAAGTGAGAATCAGAATACCTTTATTAACTTATTTATCAAAAAGGAGTTTAATGTAATAATGTTAAGTTTTTAATAAATGTTAATTAATTTGTTATCTTTTGACGACTTTTGTTTGTTTGTTTTTGTACTAAGAGTTTGTTACTGAAGATGGTTTATGATTTAAATTGTATTTTATATTATTAATTAAGTTCTTTGTTTTCCTGACTATTTTTACTTTCATGTTTTTTTTTATCAGGGTCTCTTTATTGATTGGTTTATTTTATTTGTACACAATTTAAATTAAGTGCTGTGAATAATACAAATAATAAGATATAATATATAAAAATAAAAATAAATATATTTCATACAAATATATACCAACATTGACAAGTTAAATAACAAAAAAGGAGATTATAACTAGTTTTTAAAAATCTGACCAATGAGGTTCAGGGAGGTTTTACAGTGGCGTGTGATTGGAAGACAGAGCTGTCAATCATCAGCTGAAGGAGGAGAGGAGGAGGAGGAGGGGGGAGGATCCTGAGCTGTTACTAGGTAACAGAGGGAGACGGAGAGTAACCGTGACGACACCCGGAGGACGAATGAAAGGAGTGGGGTACTTCCTGTTAGAGCGAGACTGATATATCGACTCCAGCTTTACCTGCCAGAGAAACAGTTTTTAAGCTTTTAAAATGATGTGTTATTAAATGATAACAGAACTTCAGGAGAGAAACAAACTATCTGTGATTTCTTGATCCAAAAAAGGGTTTACGTTGATGTTTGTAGCTGTGAGGAGCTGCTGCTGTACGAGAGCATGTTTTTATAATGACTCTCACGGTCTAACCAGAGCGTTAGAAAAATCACTAAATTCTTACTTTTTTTCAGAAATTTCGCAGCATTCTCACTTTTTTCAACAATTCTGACTTTTTCTCAAAATATTTACTTTATTTCTCAAAATCACAATATTTACATTTTTTCCTGAAGATCTCAAAATGTAGAGTTTTTCCATAAAATTTGACATTTTTGCTTAAAATTCTATTTGTTTGTGAAAATCTCATAATTCCGTTTTTTCTCAAACCTCTCAATTATGACTTTTTCTTTAGAAATTTTTCAGAAATTTTCCTCCAAATCCTAACTTTATTCACAAAATCATAGCATTTTTACTATTTTCTAATTTCTCTTGATTTTTTTCTGAAAATTCAAGTTTATCTCGAAATTCAAAACAAATCGGAAAATTCTAAAAGAATTCTTCAGATCATAAAATGTTTACTCTAAAAACAAATGACGAATGTTCTCAATTTCTTTGCATTCTGACTTTTTCTTGGCATTCTGACTTTTGCTTAAAAATTCTGACTTTTTGCTTAAAATCACAACATTTTAGAAATGAATTAAAGAGTTATTAAAAATGTCATCATATCAGATTTTACTGTCATATTTCCTCCTGCAGTCACTAACAGAGCATGCTGTAAACCATCCCATCACCTCAGCTGAAGATGGTCTCTGATTAAACTCACTGTTTACAGAAAGAACTGAGACATGAGGGTTTAAACAGGAAGTGGGAAAAGGGGCGGGGCTTCATGAATGACGTCACCTGGTGTCCCAAACTCTGATCTTGCTGTCGTAGTGTCCGCTGATGATGCAATACCCAGTGCAGACGAGGTCGCTGCAATACGACGGCACCTCCACTACCTGCACACCTGCACGCACACACACACACACAAATAATAAATATTCTGATAACAAGTATATTTATTGTTTGTGTGTGTGTGTGTGTGTGTGTGTGTGTGTGTGTGTGTGTGTGTGTGTGTGTGTGTGTGTGTGTGTGTGTGTGTGTGTGTGTGTGTGTGTGTGTGTGTGTGTGTGTGTGTGTGTGTCTCACAGCAGGCTCTCTGAAGGTCCCACAGTCGGACCGTTCTGTCGGCGCTGCCCGTCACGACCTGCAGATTCAAACCGAAACGAGCTGCTGTCACCTTCCTGCTGTGACCCGTCAGAGTCACCTGGGAGACAGACAGGTGAGACAGGGGAGAGAGGTGAGAGAGAAACGACAGGTAAGACAGGTGAGACAGAAAGGTGAGATAGGTGAGATAGAGGAGACAGGTGAGACGGACAGGTGAGAGAGACAGGGAGAAAAAAAAGACGAGTGAGACAGGTGAGAGAGAAACGTAAGGTGAGACAGGTGAGACACACAGGTGAGACACACAGGTGAGACACACAGGTGAGACACACAGGTGAGACAGACAGGTGAGACACACAGGTGAGACACACAGGTGAGACACACAGGTGAGACAGACAGGTGAGACACACAGGTGAGACACACAGGTGAGACAGACAGGTGAGACAGACAGGTGAGACAGACAGGTGAGACAGACAGGTGAGACAGACAGGTGAGACAGACAGGTGAGACAGACAGGTGAGTCAGACAGGTGAGACAGACAGGTGAGACAGACAGGTGAGACAGACAGGTGAGATCAGAGTGACGTCTCAGGTTGTTTCAGTGAGTTATTTCGTGGTTACCTTGGGAACGGGGTCGTCCAGCCGCCACAACAGAGCCGACTTATCGTAGGAGGCGGCGAGGACCCTCGGGCCCTGAGGACAGAAACATCGTAAACAAACATCTCGTCAGAACATACTGTTAAATTGTTAACAACGTAAACAAACTTTACACGTTAAGTTTGAACTTTGAACTTGTACGGTAAATTTGTACGTTAAATGTTAAGTTTGTATGTTAAGTTTGTACGTTAAGTTTGTACCTTAAATTTGAACGTTAAACTTTTACGGTAAATGTGTACATTCAATGTGAAATTTGTACTTTACATTTTAAATTTGTACTTTAAATTTGTACTTTAAATTTGTACGTTAAATGTTACATTTGTACGTAAAGTTTGTATATTAAGTTTGTACGTTAAGATTGTAAGTTCAATTTGTAATTTGTTTTAAATGTCAGTGACTGTGAGTTCTTCCGTGTTAATCCACAAGTTTCTCTTTGATTTAATACAACGTCAAAGATTTACCGTTTAAATCGGTACCTGCCTTCCAGCGTTAAACTTATACGTTAAGTTGTTTGTTAAGTTTGTACGTTAAGTTAAACTCACCTTGGGGTCGAACTCGATGCAGGTGACGCCCTCCGTGCTGCCGTCCAGCGTCGCTCTGTGGGTCAGCGAGCCTGAGCACCACAAGCATCCGTCAGAATAAAACAATTAAAACAGAAAAATCAGCAACGAAACATGGAGCGCTAACGTTAGCGACAACAGTTAAGCTAACACAAACTAGCACGAACTAAACTGTTTCTCAGTTTGAGTGCACACTGAGAAATATTAAACATAAAAATTCAACAAACTCTACCGTTATTAAAATAAACCATCGTTATTCTTATCGGGTTAATTGAGTAGTCTGTTTGCTAGCTCGACAATTAGTGGAAATAATCCAACGTTTTGCCTCAAAATGTATTTTTCTAAATCCTAAAACTATTTGTCTTGAAATATTTATTCATTTTTAATCATAATTATCTTACATTATGACATATGATCAAGACGATCCAAACCCCTCTATGCGTACCTTATTACTATTTGTATTTATATATTTGTATATATCATTTAAACGTTGTGTCTTTATTAAATCTCTCACCTGCTCTGACGTCCCACAGTTTGACGGCTCGGTCGGTTCCTCCGGTGGCGAGCAGCTCGGAGCTGGAGTTGAACCTCACAGCGTTAATGCCCTGCTCATGAGCTTCCTGACACACACACACACACACACACACACACACACACACACACACACACACACACACACACACACACACACACACACACACACACACACACACACACACACACACACACACACACACACACACACACACACACACACACACACACACCACACACACACACACACACACACACACACACACACACACACACACACACACGCACACACACACACACACACACACACCACACACACACACACACACAGACATACACACACACACAGACATACACACACACACACACAGACATACACACACACACACATATAAAGGTGCAGTGTGTTTTGAGTCCACCAGGGGGAGACACTCTGCAGGTAATATTAAACGTATTCAGATATAAGAAGTGTTAATAATCTAAAAGTTATTACATTTAACTTTAAACCTATACAAAATAACTCATATATGTATATATATTTATATATTTCCTTTAGTAGGAGGTTGGTCAAATACAGTGTGTTCTAATTTACTGTTTATGTTTATTTTCTAACTTTACTTTAGGCTTATCTCGTGTGTAATGTCTTATTAACACGCTTCTCTATCAAATCTATTTCAGTACAGTAATTCTAATCTGTGTGCTTATTACTTGTGCATAAGAGTGTATATTATGTATATATATATTATATATAAATGTATATATATTATGTATACAGTCTGTATTTATTACCAGGACGTGCAGAGCTCTGACAGGAAGTCGAGCTGACAGACAGACACCCACAGCAAACAGCTGATCCTCCTGCAGGCTGCTCACCGATTGGCCTCGCCTCCTCCTGATGACATCAAAGTCACATGATGTCACGGTCACATGACGTCACGGTCAATTGACGTCACGGTCACATGACGTCACGGTAACATGACCTCACAGTCACATGACGTCACGGTCAATTGACGTCACGGTCATAGGACGTCACGGTAACATGACATCACAGTCACTTGACGTCACAGTCACGTGACGTCACAGTCACATGACATCACAGTCACGTGATGTCACAGTCACGTGACGTCACTTCGCACAGACAGGAAAAATGACAGGGAATACTTTCTGAAGTTTCCCGATAAATTACGCTTTTATTTCTGTAAAAATGTGAACGGCTCATCTTGAAATATTCCAATTTACCCTTTGAAGGATTTATACCACGTTTTCAAAATATTTAAGTATTATATATTATTATAGTAAGTATTTCTCTTACGACTTTATTTCTATAATTATTATCATCATTATAGTTAGAAATGTATTTTTTTAATGATATTACTATTAACATTATTTGTTTTATTTTTATATATATATCTATTACCATAATTTGTATTATTATCATTTTCATTATTATATCAAAATATATCATTGTTCTTTTTTATTATTATTGTTGATTAGGGATATGGTAAAAAAATATAAAACAAATATTTCAACTTTTTTACTTTCACAACATTATAAAAACAAATATTCAATTTTATATTTCGACTTCTTTTCTCAATATATTCAGATGTTGCTGAGATACAGTATTTAATCAATTCAGATTAATTTAGAGAAAAACAGAAATAATAAAGTATGAAATATGAAATAATGAAAGAGACGTCTCACTGGAACAGCGCTCTGATGGAGGTGAGGATCCTCGGGGACGTCGCCGACGCCGACCTGAGACAAAGAAACGCTCGTTAATTAATCAATTAGGAAATATAAAAATACACGGAGTCAGGGGGGGGGGGGGGGGGGGGGCTCCTGAAATAATGAAGCCTTGTGATGTGTTCGAAAGCTGTTACCGTTCATGGTGTTCTGATTTATTTCAGTCCAAAACACTCAGAAAGAATGACTATCATCCAATATTGTTTTAACTACATCATAACTAACTTATTATGCATTCATAACCGTACAATCCTGTTGTCATTTCATTTTATGGCCCCAAAACACATTACACCACATATTTAAGTAAAACATTTGATTAAATTCACTCATTATATTCCTATAGTGACGACAGTGGATCATTACGTTATCTGACTATAATAAACTAATATTAGAATACAATCTCCCCAAAAAAAGTTTTTAATTATTGTTACAGTGGATGAAGGGGGTGGGGTGTCTAAAGTCAAAGATGAATCTTGATTGGGCCAAATTTGACCTCGAGTCACCCAAAACATTTCTTCTGGGTCTTCCCAAACAGCAAATTATACACTTTTTTTTCTAGAGACCTTCAGATTTGGCGAAAATGGTCAAAATCAGTTTTGTAGTGTTTATGTGGAGGATATCATGAAGCCTTGTTCCGATACAAAAAACTAGAGCGTAGTTATTATATCATTTTAACTTGAAACGGGTCAGGGGAGACCCGAACACAACATAAGGGTTAAGGAGAATAATACCATTTTTTTTTTTATCTGAATATTTTGAAATTCTTTTGGAATATTGGATTTTAAAAATAAATCTGAATAAAATAAATACATATCTGATTTAAATAAATAACTGAATACAAAAAAATAACTGAATATTTTAAATAAAATCTGAAAATGAAAACCTGAACATAAAAAATAAAATTGAACATAAACAAAAATCGAATTATATCCAAAAACGGAATATTTAAAATTTCTTTCAATATAAAAAAAGAATTGTAATATTTAAAAAAAAATCTTAATATTAAAGAAAAAATCTGAAAATGAAATAAAGAAATTATCCAAATGTTTTTGTTTTAGCCCCAGCGGGAATATTTTACAGAAGTCCTATTTCTGAAATGTTTAAAAGTCAGTGTTAAATGTCGTTATATTTTTACATGAATTGTGAGTGTGGAAAATTGAATAAAAAAATATATCAGAATATTTAAAAAAAAACCTGAATATTTAAAAAACCTGAATATTTATAAAACCTGAATATTTATAAAACCTGAATATTTAAAACAAAATCAGAAAATACAAAAATTATCCGAATATTTTTTTTAACATAATTAATATTTTGTAAATGTTAAAAAGTTAGTGTAAAATGTTGTTATATTTTACATTGAGTGTGGAGGGTTACCTGAAGAGTCGACGCTCTGACTCTCGCTTCGGAGACGAAGATCTGGAGGTCGGAGCGCTGCCACTGAAACCAGAAATATCAACTTTATTGTCAATCTTTCAGTTTGAGTGTACGGAAATATCGTTTCCCACAATCCCAAATATATATATAAAAATATGTGTGCAAATATGTATTAAAATATGTTTATACCTCACCGGAGTTATGTGATGGCACTACTCCACAACAAATATTTCTATTGATATAACATCATTTATTTTTATATATATATTCACGCTTTTTATCTGTATTTTGAAATATGCAAAATACTTACATTTTAATACATTTTTCAGAAATATTTATTTATTTCTTCAAATATTAGATTATTAATATTACTTCAGTAAAAATATTCCAGCTGTTGCTCAAAATATTAAAACTTTAAAAATAAAATGTACTGTTTTTTTAACCTGTTCAGACCTCAGGCTCGAAAATATCATTCCCAGAACAAATGACCATATCTTCCCTTCTAAAAGGGGAACATTAATAATATTTTTTCTCAAAGCAATGATAAACCTGTGAGTTGGATGGAGAAGAGTCAGAATCAATATAGATGTTTTTATTTTAAAGTAAATTCAGATTGAACATAGTAAAAAAATGTAAATTATAGTGTCCGTCCAAAAAAAACATTACTTATAGTGAAAACCACCCTTGGATGATGGGTTAGTAGACTAAAAGCTTTAGGAATCCAAACTATAACATATAATAAGTACCCTGTATCAAGATTGATGCAAAACAAGTGACATTTGACCTTTTTAGAGAGATTTAGCAAAAAAACTCCACCTCTGGGGTCATTTGGGTGGATGTGGGGGGATTTGGGTATATTTGCCGTTTCTCTGGAACCCATTGGTCGATTTTGATGATTGACACCTCTTTTGAACCGTTAGAGCCAATAGAATCGAAGGGATAGTCCTAAATCCAAATACACGTTCCATTGAGAAGTGAGAGTGATGCGCACGCAGTCGAAAGCTATGTTTCGCTCTGAAAACTGAAAACTAGTAAATATGATGATGGATTATTTATCAGTAATCATTTCAAAGTGACAGACACACATTGGATTAACCTTCAGCAGCAGCATTTTTTTTATATTCAGATTTCTCTTTACATTTTCTTGTTCTTTTTTGTATTCAGAATTTGTAAATATTCAATTTTTTTCCTCTTTCCATGTTACATTTTTCCCACAATATTAAAAGTTAGGGTCTCACCTCGTTTCCACGGTGACCTTCGACCTCGCCGCCTCTCGAGCTCTGAAACAAACAGAGAGAGACGTTCAGGGACCTGCCTCTCACACAGTGAAAAGTGTGTGGTGAGTTCAGGGACCTGCCTCTCACACAGTGAGGTGTGTGTGTGTGGTGCGTTCAGGGATCTGCCTCTCACAGTGAGGTGTGTGGTGCATTCAGGGACCTGCCTCTTTCACAGTTATGTGTGTGGTGCGTTCAGGGACCTGGCTCTCTCACAGTGAGGTGTGTGTGTGGCGCGTTCAGGGACCTGCCTCTCACAGTGAGGTGTGTGTGGTGCGTTCAGGGACCTGCCTCTTTCACAGTTATGTGTGTGGTGCGTTCAGGGACCTGCCTCTCTCACAGTGAGAAGTGTGTGTGCTGTGCATTCAGGTATCTGCCTCTCACAGTGAAAAGTGTGTGGTGCGTTCAGGGACCTGCCTCTCTCACAGTGTGGTGTGTGTGTGATGCGTTCAGGGACCTGCCTCTCTCACAGTGAGGTGTGTGTGTGGTGCGTTCAGGGACCTGCCTCTCACAGTGAGGTGTGTGGTGCTTTCAGGGACCTGCCTCTCTCACAGTGAGGTGTGTGTGTGGCGCGTTCAGGGACCTGCCTCTCACAGTGAGGTGTGTGTGGTGCGTTCAGGGACCTGCCTCTTTCACAGTGATGTGTGTGGTGCGTTCAGGGACTTGCCTCTCTCACAGTGAGGTGTGTGTGTGTGGTGCATTCAGGGAGCTGCCTCTCTCACAGTGAGGTTTGTGTGTGTGTGTGTGTGTGTGTGTGTGTGTGTGTGTGTGTGTGTGTGTGTGTGTGTGTGTGTGTGTGGTGTGTTCAAGGACCTGCAGCGGCGCTCGTTGCGTGTGTTCATGTTTGCGGCCTCCTGCTGTTTCAGGTGAATGACGTCCTGCAGCAGGTTTCCCCCTCGCAGCTTCTCCTCTCGTAGTTTAGTCTCCGCCCCCCTCTGACGCTCCAGCAGCGCGTCGTAATCCGATTTCAACGCACCCATGTCCCCTCGGACTGTCTCCACCCGCCCCTGCAGCGCCAGCCGGGAATCAAACGCACCCTGAAGCAAAGGCTCCTCCTGCTGCTGCCTGATGAAGTTAGAACATAAACATAATCTGTAAATATGCAGTTTTGTTGAAAATGAAAGAAAATACAATAAAATCATATTTTTTCGTGTGTGTGTGTGTGTGTGTGTGTGTGTGTGTGTGTGTGTGTGTGTCACCTGGCATGCTGCTCGTCCAGAACACTATCTTTGATTCTAATCTGCTGCTGAAGTTGCACCACCTGGTAGGCAAGCTGTACAAAAAGTAAATACACAGATACAGTTGAATTAACTTGAATAATAGAGTGTGTTAGTGTGTGTGTGTGTGTGTGTGTGTGTGTGTGTGTGTGTGTGTGTGTGTGTGTGTGTGTGTGTGTGTGTGTGTGTGTGTGTGTGTGTGACCTCTCCAGTAGTGTTCTTCAGCTGGTTGTTCTGGTGCAGCAGAGCGGAGAGGCTGCTGTCAGAGGACGGACATCTTGGTGCACAAAACAAGCACACCCTCAGCTACATTTATTACATGTAGACAGAAATGTAGATATTTAAATTGAAATGTATAAATATATGCATGATTAAATAACAAATCAATTCAAGTTCTTAAAAATGTAATATTTATTTGTATGTTTTTCTTAATATTTTCCTATTTTGTGTTTTATTTATATAGTTATATATTTCCTAGTTTGTCCATGTATTTCTACAGTGCCACAAAATGCATTGAGAGCATGAGAGTCTCAGGTGAGTTACCTGGCGGGGGTCAGACTGGTTTTCTCCAGCAGCCGAGTGTCTGAAACAGAACAGAAGTCATCACCTGAAGAAATAAGGTGAGCTACAGCTGAGTGAAGACGAATACAAAACACATATCGAGAGACAAAGGAAGAATTCTGATATTTTCTATATAAAAGTCAAAATTCTGAGGTTTCAGGAAAAAATTCGAAATTCTGAGATTGAAAAAAGAAAGTCAAATATTCTGACATTTTAAGTAAAAACATCAAAATTGAGATTTTTTTTTGTGGCAATACCTGAGAAAAAGCCACAATTTTTCACTTTAATCTTTGAATTCAGAATGTTCTTTTTACAAAATCTCAGAATCTGTGACAAAAGTCAAAATTCTTAGATTTTCAACAAAAAAAGTCTGAATTCTGAAATATCTGAAAAAATAAAATGAAATATAAATAAATAAAAATGACTAATTCTGAGCTTTTGAGAAAAACGAAAAGACTCTCTCTTTACTCAGAGGGGACACATCAACATGTGTCCCCTCTTCTTCATGTCTCTTCTTCATCAACATGTGTCCCCTCTTCTTCATGTCTCTTCTACATCAACATGTGTCCCCTCTTCTTCATGTCTCTTCTACATCAACATGTGTCCCCTCTTCTTCATGTCTCTTCTTCATCAACATGTGTCCCCTCTTCTTCATGTCTCTTCTACATCAACATGTGTCCCCTCTTCTTCATGTCTCTTCTACATCAACATGTGTCCCCTCTTCTTCGTGTCTCTTCTACATCAACATGTGTCCCCTCTTCTTCGTGTCTCTTCTACATCAACATGTGTCCCCTCTTCTTCGTGTCTCTTCTACATCAACATGTGTCCCCTCTTCTTCATGTCTCTTCTACATCAACATGTGTCCCCTCTTCTTCATGTCTCTTCTACATCAACATGTGTCCCCTCTTCTTCATGTCTCTTCTACATCAACATGTGTCCCCTCTTCTTCATGTCTCTTCTACATCAACATGTGTCCCCTCTTCTTCATGTCTCTTCTACATCAACATGTGTCCCCTCTTCTTCATGTCTCTTCTTCATCAACATGTGTCCCCTCTTCTTCATGTCTCTTCTACATCAACATGTGTCCCCTCTTCTTCATGTCTCTTCTTCATCAACATGTGTCCCCTCTGTGGAAAGAGACTATAAAATAACACTTGGTCTAAAATTCACACAAAAAAAGTCTAAATTCTGAGATTTTGGAGTCTGGTTTAAAAAAATGTTTTATATATATTAAATAAATTAAATGAACTGGTTATTAAATGGAGTTACTGGATTGAAGGAAACATCTACCTGTCAGAGAGTCCTGACTGAAACCAGGTTTTGGATGTGAGTGTTTTACCAGGTCTGAAACAGGAAGTGTTGTCGCTTCAAGTTGGTAAGAAAACTGTTAAAATAACCGATATTTTAAGTTATTTCTACTTAACAGGAGTTTGTTTATACTTATTTGTCCAGGTGTAAAACAGGAAGTGTTTCGCTGAAGCAAACCCCATTAAAATAAATCTCAGTTTATTGTTGGAGCTGTGGAAGCAGAGGTAAACAGACAGATGTTTTCCACAGAGTTTGGTTAAAGCCTGCAGATGTTTCCCGGACACACTGAGTGCTATCTGCCCGTCTTTAGTAGCTTTAAAACGGATAAGAGTTACGTACAGAAGCGGATCAGATCCTGGAACTTGTCGTGCTGCCTGCGGTCTCGGAGCTTCAGCTGCCCGACGATGTGCCTCCTCCAGCGGGTCTCTGCTGCCCGGCCTCCGCCCCTCAGAGCTCCGGAGGCCATCAGCGGGCTGCCGGACTCCGTCTCCCCGCCGACAGACGCTCGCAGCCCGGCATGAAGTCACAGAGCTCCCGGTGTCACCGCCATGTTTGGTTCTCTGGAGGTTTTCTTTATTTTTTTTCAAACTTTTTCTTCCTTAAAGATTCGTCACTGTCACGGAGGGGAGGGGGGCGGGGCTTAGTGTCTCGTACTGACAGCTGCCGGGTCTCTCAGCCAATCACCGCCCGCCCTCCGCTCTTCCTGTTGTGACTTGAGGAAGAACAAAACAAACACACCCTATAGGACACGCCCCCTTTCACTCAGATGTTAAATGTTTTTTCTTTTACGTGATATTATTAAAGTGTGACGTTTTCCAATAGAGCTCAAAATACTGAGCTTTTTTAAAACAATATCAATAAATAATAAAGATTAAAAGGACCTATAAATGTCGCTGATAAACTAATCTGTAGACCTGATAGTACAATCTTCATCTTCATTTACCGTAAAATGGATGTGTAAATGTGAACGAGGACTTCTGCTTAATGTTAATAAATATTATCAGTTATTAAAAAGGCATAAAGTGGATGTAAAAGGATCCATTTAAACGGTTCATATCAGCCGAATGGATGTTAGTGTCTTCATGAGAAATGGACGTTTAGTGAAGTTATTTCAGCCGTTTATATTTATATATTATCATCTCGTTAAGACTCTCTATTACCAGCTTTAAAGGGTCATTCTTTTATGATTAATTGGTATTTAAAGGGCCCATGTCATGCTTTTCCGGTTATTACCCGTCCCCTTGTGTGTTATGAAGGTTTTTCTGCATGTAAACGGTCTGCAGTCACAAACCCTCAAAGTACACCCTGTAGCGAGTAAAACTCTAACACAGAAAATACCTGTCTATGCTGCCCCAGAACGCCTCGTACTGGGTACAGTGACGTGCCCATACCCAAATGGACCCATCCGTGGAGCCGTTACGTTACGTCCGTGGAGCCGTTACGTTAAGTCCGACTTCCTCACACACACAATCTTTTCTCAGCTGCAGCTCCACCGATTTCTCCTCCCTGAGACGGCGGGACGCGGCGAGGCTGTGAGTCGGTGTGTGAGCACACACACAAACTCCCAGCCAGGCTGCGGGTGTGTGTGTGTGTTCGGGCTGGGTTTCGCTGTCTCGCAGACGGCCACTGGGCTCACAGGGAGGGGGGGACAGGAGCTCCAACAAGCCGTGTAGGACAGAGAGTGAATACACAGACTATACAGAGATGCTGTATGAGAAACCAATGTGAGTTTGGAACATTGAACAATATAAATCTATTCTAGTAGACCTCAACAATGGAATCATGATCAGTAGAAATGGCCATGACATGGGACCTTTAAGAAATGCCGTAACCAGGACGACGAAGTTATTGAATCTCGAATCTACTATTTCTGATTTAATGTTATCCTTTTGTGAACATATTTGTACATAAAAAAAATGTAACATCTGAAATCTGGAATTCAATTAGACACTTTTTTTTTTAATAAGAAACATATACAACTTTATTAACAAACACAGTGATGGTGATTTAAAAACACAATTCTGGCATAAAACACATAAACGTAAGGTGCGTCAGGTTTAATACTGATTTCTGGGTTCAGTCTCGTCTCAGTTTCTCTCGTCTCAGTTTCTCTGGTTTCAGACCCGGTCCAGTTTCTCTGGTTTCAGACCCGGTCCAGTTTCTCTTGTCTCAGACCCGGTCCAGTTTCTCTCGTCTCAGACCCGGTCCAGTTTCTCTCGGGTCATCTGGACCAGCAGCTCTGAGTATTTCTCCAGCAGAGAAAGAGACGCCTCGTCTTCTCCTCGCACCGCCTGCAGCTCCGAGAGAACGAAATCAAACGCACCCTTCAGGACGGAGACGAGCTGCGGAGGCTGCGTGCCATCAGAGAGCTGAGGAGACAATAAGAGTATTATCATATATATATATAAATGAAACTTGAAATAGTTCAAATAGTGCAAGGAGAGTCTATATTATATCTATATATATTATAATTGGAATATGATATTTCCCAAAGATATTGAAGTGACTTATTTATGTCTTAATGTGTGCATATGTATAAATATTGAATCTATTGAATATATAGGATATACGGATTTTGATATATATTTGTATTTCTGTATTCAGGATTGTGGGAAACGGTATTTCGATCTCTCTGTACACACAAACTGAACGATTGACAATAAAGTTGACTTTGTGTTCGATGAACAGTTGAAACAGTGGGATGTCATGGTAACGCTCGGGATGTCATGGTAACGCTCGGGATGTCATGGTAACGCTCAGGATGTCATGGTAACGCTCAGCCTGTCTCCAGGCACTGAAACACCTGTGCAGTAGGGATGTTAAGATTCACCGATTCGCAATGGTGCACCGGCATAAACGTTCAAGATGCGAGTGCACCGGTTGAAAGAGTGCACCGGTTGAAAGAGTGCACGGGTTGAAAGAGTGCACGGGTTGAAAGAGTGCACCGGTTGAAAGAGTGCACGGGTTGAAAGAGTGCACGGGTTGAAAGAGTGCACGGGTTGAAAGAGTGCACCGGTTGAAAGAGTGCACGGGTTGAAAGAGTGCACCGGGTGAAAGAGTGCACCGGTTGAAAGAGTGCACGGGTTGAAAGAGTGCACGGGTTGAAAGAGTGCACCGGTTGAAAGAGTGCACCGGGTGAAAGAGTGCACGGGTTGAAAGAGTGCACGGGTTGAAAGAGTGCACCGGGTGAAAGAGTGCACGGGTTGAAAGAGTGCACCGGGTGAAAGAGTGCACCGGTTGAAAGAGTGCACGGGTTGAAAGAGTGCACCGGTTGAAAGAGTGCACCGGTTGAAAGAGTGCACGGGTTGAAAGAGTGCACCGGTTGAAAGAGTGCACCGGTTGAAAGAGTGCACCGGTTGAAAGAGTGCACCGGTTGAAAGAGTGCACCGGTTGAAAGAGTGCACCGGTTGAAAGAGTGCACCGGTTGAAAGAGTGCACGGGTTGAAAGAGTGCACCGGTTGAAAGAGTGCACATCGGCTACAGTTTGGGTTGAACTCGCGATGCATCGATTGTAGCGTCTTTGCATCGGTAAAAAACCGATTCATTCATATAATATCCTCTCATCCTGCCAGCACTCAGCAGAGACGATCTTTGATCTCTGCTCCGCACTACGGAGGCCGAGAGTCTCAGTTATCAACACACATGGAAGTCGAGGAGAAAGAGAAACACAGCGCACCGAAAAATACCTACAAATCAAACGTTTGGCAACACATCGAATTTTTCAAGAAAGACGGACAACTTGAAAAATCGCTCGCAAATTGTAAACGATGCTGTGCGGCTTTAAAGTACACAAGCAGTACGAGGAACTTAGCGACGCACATAAAGAGGCGACATGGGGTCTGCGGCTGAAAAGAGAAACCTGAAAGTTAGACATATGAGTTCAATCACTCAGTGAGGTGTTCTGTCAGTGAGAGTGGTGTTTAGTTTACAGCAGCCTGTGACTGCCAACAATAGTTTAAATGTCTTCCTTACTGTAAGCAGTTATGAAATACCTGTTTGTGAAAGGTTATTTTCTTTATTGTTCCTATAGAAACCATTGCTTTCTGCTCACTGGTGAGTTAGCCTATGAATGAGTGTTAAGCACATCAGGCTGGGCATTGCACGATGGTAGTTGTTATTTACACATTGTTCATCATGGGCATCCTTAAATTGTTTAACTGTGAGGTGTTATAAAATTGTACTGAACTCTGGAGAGTTTTTTAAGGTAAAAAAGGTAAAAGAAACAGCATGATGGGATGCGCTCGTAGAGAGAAGCAAATATGTAAAGCACATTTTTGTTAATTTATGATTTGCTGCATATAAGGAATACAACTAAATCCTCTGTCGTACCATATTGAAGTATCATTATTTTGCATCGTATCGCCCCGTATCGCATAATGTTGAATCAAATCGTATCGAACTGTATCGCAGGAGGGGTGAATCGTATCGCATCGCCTGGTGTTTCAAAGGTATCGTTAATGTATCGTATCGTTGGCAGCGTATCGAGATGCGCATCGTATCGGCCTCAGTGATGGAGATGCGCATCCCTACTGTGCAGGTACTCCGTGTGTCTTCTTACCTGCTGGTGCAGCAGCACGGCTCGTCTCGTCGCCTCCCGCAGCTCCATGGCAACGCTCTGACACTGAAGCAGACTCACCATGGCAACTACAGAACAACACATCAATAATCAATATTTATATCCTAATCCAGACCGTTTATTTATTTATATATTTTATCTTTATTTAACAAAGATACATTTTGAATGCAGGACTTTTACTGTTTACTGTATTCCTACACTCTGGTACTTCTACTTTTACTAAAGTACAAGATCTGAGTACTTCTACCTTTACTCAAGTACAAGATCTGAGTACTTCTACCTTTACTCAAGTACAAGATCTGAGTACTTCTACTTTTACTCAAGTACACAATCTGAGTACTTCTACTTTTACTCAAGTACACAATCTGAGTACTTCTACCTTTACTCAAGTACAAGATCTGAGTACTTCTACCTTTACTCAAGTACAAGATCTGAGTACTTCTACCTTTACTCAAGTACAAGATCTGAGTACTTCTACCTTTACTCAAGTACAAGATCTGAGTACTTCTACCTTTACTCAAGTACAAGATCTGAGTACTTCTACCTTTACTCAAGTACAAGATCTGAGTACTTCTACTGTTACTCAAGTACAAGATCTGAGTACTTCTACCTTTACTCAAGTACAAGATCTGAGTACTTCTACCTTTACTCAAGTACAAGATCTGAGTACTTCTACCTTTACTCAAGTACAAGATCTGAGTACTTCTACTTTTACTCTAGTACAACATCTGAGTACTTCTACTATAATATTATTGTATGTATTAGGATTGAATGCATTTGAAACGTTTTTATTTTCCTCACAAGTCTCTCATACTTTATCACTGATTGGCTAATGGTTACACAAGACAAAACATCGTTATGACATCACAAAGTGGCCAAAATCTGATCAGCTCATTTTCAGACAGGTTTTTATAAAAATGGATCAAAAAGAGAGAGAATCTTTGTTCCTGAAACTTTCAGAGTCTCTTTCCACAGAGGGGACACATGTTGATGAAGAAGAGACATGAAGAAGAGGGGACACATGTTGATGAAGAAGAGACATGAAGAAGAGGGGACACATGTTGATGAAGAAGAGACATGAAGAAGAGGGGACACATGTTGATGTAGAAGAGACATGAAGAAGAGGGGACACATGTTGATGAAGAAGAGACATGAAGAAGAGGGGACACATGTTGATGAAGAAGAGACATGAAGAAGAGGGGACACATGTTGATGAAGAAGAGACATGAAGAAGAGGGGACACATGTTGATGTAGAAGAGACATGAAGAAGAGGGGACACATGTTGACGAAGAAGAGACATGAAGAAGAGGGGACACATGTTGATGAAGAAGAGACATGAAGAAGAGGGGACACATGTTGATGTAGAAGAGACATGAAGAAGAGGGGACACATGTTGATGAAGAAGAGACATGAAGAAGAGGGGACCACATGTTGATGTAAGAAGAGACATGAAGAAGAGGGGACACATGTTGATGAAGAAGAGACATGAAGAAGAGGGGACACATGTTGATGAAGAAGAGACATGAAGAAGAGGGGACACATGTTGATGAAGAAGAGACATGAAGAAGAGGGGACACATGTTGATGTAGAAGAGACATGAAGAAGAGGGGACACATGTTGATGTAGAAGAGACATGAAGAAGAGGGGACACATGTTGATGTAGAAGAGACATGAAGAAGAGGGGACACATGTTGATGTAGAAGAGACATGAAGAAGAGGGGACACATGTTGATGTAGAAGAGACATGAAGAAGAGGGGACACATGTTGATGTAAGAAGAGACATGAAGAAGAGGGGACACATGTTGATGTAGAAGAGACATGAAGAAGAGGGGACACATGTTGATGTAGAAGAGACATGAAGAAGAGGGGACACATGTTGATGTAGAAGAGACATGAAGAAGAGGGGACACATGTTGATGAAGAAGAGACATGAAGAAGAGGGGACACATGTTGATGAAGAAGAGACATGAAGAAGAGGGGACACATGTTGATGTAGAAGAGACATGAAGAAGAGGGGACACATGTTGATGTAGAAGAGACATGAAGAAGAGGGGACACATGTTGATGTAGAAGAGACATGAAGAAGAGGGGACACATGTTGATGTAGAAGACATGAAGAGAGGGGACACATGTTGATGTAGAAGAGACATGAAGAAGAGGGGACACATGTTGATGTAGAAGAGACATGAAGAAGAGGGGACACATGTTGATGAAGAAGAGACATGAAGAAGAGGGGACACATGTTGATGTAGAAGAGACATGAAGAAGAGGGGACACATGTTGATGTAGAAGAGACATGAAGAAGAGGGGACACATGTTGATGTAGAAGAGACATGAAGAAGAGGGGACACATGTTGATGAAGAAGAGACATGAAGAAGTGGATTTTGTATAATAGGTGAGCAAGATTTACGTCCATTGGTTGCATTAGAAATGACTCAAAGGTGTTGTTAATGAATAATAACTACCTGGGGGGGGGTGCTGTGTTTCCGTCAGAGGAGAAGAGGAAGAGGCGGGGGAGGTGTCCCTGAACACCTCACCTGGATGTCCCGCCTCCTGCTCGATGATGTCAGAGGCGATGGTGTCACGTGTGGGGGAGGGGCTTATGATGATGGTTAGGTTTTGATTGGTCAGGGTCTCCTCCTCGCTGCAGAGGCTCCACCTCCTGACTCCGCCCAGTGACATCACAGCGGGGGGCGTGGCTCCATCCAGTGACATCACAGCAGGGGGCGTGGCTCCGTCCAGTGACATCACAGCGGGGGGCGTGGCAACCTCCTGCGGGCTGCTCGATGGGGGGGAAGAATTGAGTGACGACACACTGACGGACGACAGGAAACAATGTTAAAGGTTTCCTATCATGCTATTTGTAGGCATATATTATGAGTCTCAGATATATACAAATATATAAAAAACATGTCTATGAAGTGTTTTGCTCAAAATACCAAACAGATCATGACTTTTAGAAATCCCTCATATCCTCTGTTTCAGGCCTGTTAGAGAAACGCTGATTCTGGGTCCTTCGCTTGAAAACAACCAACAACAAAAAAACTAGAGCTCATCAGGAGAACTCTCCCAGCAGAAACTCAGCTAAATGCTGCCGTGACTAAACTCCATATCATGTTCCAAACCACATCAAGGATTCTCTCTGAAACAGTATGGAGCTCAAACTCTTTCTCTCTCAGGTTTACCACAAGGTGACTTCCTTTTGATTTCCTGCTTCTTCACACATGCTCTCTCCAGTACAGGTTAGCTCTGAGTGTTAGCATGCTAATGTAAACACAGACCATATTACTTCCAGAACACGTCTCATTGTTTCTGACAGCAACGTTTCTGATTGGCCCGTGGGTGTAAAGCCCGCCCACATTTTAGTAATGTGGTCATGAAGCAGCAAATCTGGATCAGCTCCGTTTGGGTATGGAGGAAAAGAGAGAGGGGTTTATTTCCTGACACTTGGTGAGTTCCCTGGAACACCGGGGACACATATTCATGTATAAAAGACGTACAAAAGTGCATTTTGCATGATAGGTCCCCTTTAAACAATATTTTGATTAATATTAAAACGAATGCACAGATCCTTATTGGGGTTACCTGCAGGTCTGGTCTTGGTCCTGGTCCCTGCTTTGGAGGTCCAGGTTCTCCTTCTCCTCAGAGGCGGGGTCTTGGCCCTTTTTGGCCCTGGAGCTGGCCGTGGTCCCTAAGTATCCGAGCCGCAGCGCCCCCTGCTGGGCAGCCGAGCCCAGGCTGAGGTTGAGAGTCCTGGAGGTGACGTCTGAAGAAGGAGAAGAAGTCCAGAAACATCAGAAACAGACGGGTTTAATCTCAGGTAAAGGTGAGAAAGGTGAGACACCACTGTGAGATCGGATTATGTTTCAGAGATCAATGATCCGTTTTGGTGTTTCGGAAAAATATGTGGAAAACGTTTTAACAAAAAAGTGTCTGTCAAAAAAGTGTCAAAAAAAAAAGTTTAAAAAAAAAATGCTGTAAAATATGTGAACATTTAAAAATTACAGGTAAGATAAAAAAAAAAGTAAGACCCCACTGTGAGACTATTAAGATTGATTTCTAGTGTTCTGGGAAAAATAAGTGAAAGGGTTAAAAAAATATATTAAAGTTTCAATTTGTTTAAATAAAATATGTGAAAACTTCAGTGAAATTAGTAAGAAATTAGATATAATTTCAGGTAGAGGCGAAAAAGGTGAGGCCCCCCCCCACTGTGAGTGAGTGACCGTTTAGAATAAGGGATCACATTGTGAAACACCAACAAGGACTAATGTGAGTTATATTGACGAGTAAACACCACACGCACACACCTTGATCGTGAAAACCACACCTGTGTCTGAATACACACCTGGACACTAACAAACATTTGATCAAAAACACTCCAAGGGACAGAAGACAGTTTGACCTCCGTGAGTTTTACGGCAGAACGAAACCCGAGAAAAACCAAGACAAAACACCCGAGTGACCACACACACACACACACACACACACACACACACACCCACACACACACACACCTTGCAGCATGTCTCTGCACTGGACGTGAACCACAGTGTGTCGTCTGCGTTTGAGGCGGCGAAGAGACTGATGGGAAATCATGCTGGAAGCTCTACGGCGAAGCACTGAACACACACACACACACACACACTTCGTCTTGTGTTTCAATATTTATGCTTATTTTATCATCATCTTTTTCCCCCTGTTTTGTGTCATCTGTTTCAATGGCTTGTCGAGCACGAAAGAGTGTTTGGATTTGTTCAAAAGCTGCGATATGAATAAAGTTTTGATTATTCAATTACACGTGGAGTCCCTCAGGGAAGCGTCCTGGAGCCTCTTTTTTTGCATTGAACTTTCTGAAGATTTAATGGAACGATTGGTTAAAAATAGTAATTTAGAGAAATGAAAGTATTCTTTACGTGAATCTCCGCCTACATAAATGACTCGCATGTTATTCTGTACATAACTTCAGTTTGTCGTTTACTCCGTGACGAATATGCATCGCTCTCCAACGTTTACATACATTAATCTCTACGTTACTCTGTGAATGACTTTACATTTTTACTTTCTACCTACTTGCACGTCTCAATACAAATACAATCAGTACATCAGCGAAGATTAGTCACGTGAGTTTGACCACCACAGCATCATTGGTGTTTACTCGTGTCACTCAAACTAGAAGCGCTGGCGAGGAGGCGGGGCTTATCTCCATGTGGATACCAACAACAACAAAATAAACATATTTTACCGTGACAGGTATCAAAATGATGCCGGAATAACTACATAATGACACCGGTTAGTAAAAACAATGAATTCATGCTTTGGAGACGACAGACAAGAAACTTTTTAAATGTTTTCTGAATGGAGGTTGTGCTAAGCTAACATGTAGCTGCTTTGTCCACAACAACTTCATACAGACAGAAATAAAGACTGTATTCTCCACAGACGTTTGTACATTTATAAACTCTGATGTTTCCCCTGTTCTTCTGATCAGATATGAGGAGCTGTGAGCTCTGTGTGCTAACCGCTAACAGCTAATATTTGTTTTCCTGATTCAACACCGTCAGTGACGAAAGGCTGAGATTCTCACCTCCGATTGGCTTTAAACTTTTAAACAACGTGAGCCGGTACGAATTTGCATCTATCCACGTTTTTGCAATGACTCAACATGTAATCGCGACCCTTAAAAAAAATGATGTATTGAAGTCAATGGAGAGAGAAAAATTAACTTTCAATCCCGTTTGAATTGTGCCACGAATTCCTGTTTGCAGCTCAAAATAATTCACAAGTCATCACAGATAAGGAACAGGCGACTCACCGGCACCGCTGAAGCTGGTTTCTTTCTGGGTGGATTCAGTGCAGCTGACCTCGCTGCTCGCCTCCGAGTTCACCTGAAAACAAACTCACCACATTTAACTCTGTGAAGGTGCTGCTAGTGCTGTGTTTCAAGTGTGTTTCAGGTGTGTTTCCTGTGTTTCAGGTGTGTTTCCTGTGTTTCAGGTATGTTTCCTGTGTTTCAGGTATGTTTCCTGTGTTTGAGGTGTGTTTCAGGTGTGTTTCAGGTGTATTTCCTGTGTTTCAGGTGTGTTTCAGGTGTATTTCCTGTGTTTTAGGTGTGTTTCCTGTGTTTCAGGTGTGTTTCCTGTGTTTCAGGTGTGTCCTGTGTGTTTCCTGTGTTTCAGGTGTGTTTCCTGTGTGTTTCCTGTGTTTCAGGTGTGTTTCAGGTGTGTTTCCTGTGTTTCAGGTGTGTTTCCTGTGTTTCAGGTATGTTTCCTGTGTTTTGAGGTGTGTTTCAGGTGTGTTTCAGGTGTATTTCCTGTGTTTCAGGTGTGTTTCAGGTGTATTTCCTGTGTTTTAGGTGTGTTTCCTGTGTTTCAGGTGTGTCCTGTGTGTTTCCTGTGTTTCAGGTGTGTTTCCTGTGTTTCAGGTGTGTCCTGTGTGTTTCCTGTGTTTCAGGTGTGTTTCCTGTGTGTTTCCTGTGTGTTTCCTGTGTTTCAGGTGTGTTTCAGGTGTGTCCTGTGTGTTTCCTGTGTTTCAGGTGTGTTTCCTGTGTTTTAGGTGTGTTTCAGGTGTGTCCTGTGTGTTTCCTGTGTGTTTCAGGTGTGTTTCCTGTGTTTCAGGTGTGTTTCAGGTGTGTCCTGTGTGTTTCCTGTGTTTCAGGTGTATTTCCTGTGTTTTAGGTGTGTTTCAGGTGTGTCCTGTGTGTTTCCTGTGTGTTTCAGGTGTATTTCCTGTGTTTCAGGTGTATTTCCTGTGTTTTAGGTGTGTTTCCTGTGTTTCAGGTGTGTTTCCTGTGTTTCAGGTGTGTTTCAGGTGTGTCCTGTGTGTTTCCTGTGTTTCAGGTGTGTTTCCTGTGTGTTTCCTGTGTGTTTCCTGTGTTTCAGGTGTGTTTCCTGTGTGTTTCAGGTGTGTTTCCTGTGTGTTTCCTGTGTGTTTCAGGTGTGTTTCAGGTGTGTTTCAGGTGTGCTTCCTGTGTGTTTCCTGTGTTTCAGGTGTGTTTCCTGTGTTTCAGGTGTGTTTCCTGTGTTTCAGGTGTGTTTCCTGTGTTTCCTGTGTTTCAGGTGTGTTTCCTGTGTTTCCTGTGTTTCAGGTATGTTTCCTGTGTTTGAGGTGTGTTTCAGGTGTGTTTCAGGTGTATTTCCTGTGTTTCAGGTGTGTTTCAGGTGTATTTCCTGTGTTTCAGGTGTGTTTCCTGTGTTTCAGGTGTGTCCTGTGTGTTTCCTGTGTTTCAGGTGTGTTTCCTGTGTGTTTCCTGTGTTTCAGGTGTGTTTCAGGTGTGTTTCCTGTGTTTCAGGTGTGTTTCCTGTGTTTCAGGTATGTTTCCTGTGTTTGAGGTGTGTTTCAGGTGTGTTTCAGGTGTATTTCCTGTGTTTCAGGTGTGTTTCAGGTGTATTTCCTGTGTTTTAGGTGTGTTTCCTGTGTTTCAGGTGTGTCCTGTGTGTTTCCTGTGTTTCAGGTGTGTTTCCTGTGTTTCAGGTGTGTCCTGTGTGTTTCCTGTGTTTCAGGTGTGTTTCAGGTGTATTTCCTGTGTTTCAGGTGTGTCCTGTGTGTTTCCTGTGTGTTTCCTGTGTTTCAGGTGTGTTTCAGGTGTGTCCTGTGTGTTTCCTGTGTTTCAGGTGTGTTTCCTGTGTTTTAGGTGTGTTTCAGGTGTGTCCTGTGTGTTTCCTGTGTGTTTCAGGTGTATTTCCTGTGTTTTAGGTGTGTTTCAGGTGTGTCCTGTGTGTTTCCTGTGTGTTTCAGGTGTATTTCCTGTGTTTCAGGTGTATTTCCTGTGTTTTAGGTGTGTTTCCTGTGTTTCAGGTGTGTTTCCTGTGTTTCAGGTGTGTTTCAGGTGTGTCCTGTGTGTTTCCTGTGTTTCCTGTGTGTTTCCTGTGTGTTTCCTGTGTTTCAGGTGTGTTTCCTGTGTGTTTCAGGTGTGTTTCCTGTGTGTTTCCTGTGTGTTTCAGGTGTGTTTCAGGTGTGTTTCAGGTGTGTTTCCTGTGTTTCAGGTGTGTTTCCTGTGTTTCAGGTGTGTTTCCTGTATTTCAGGTGTGTTTCCTGTGTTTCCTGTGTTTCAGGTGTGTTTCCTGTGTTTCAGGTGTGTTTCCTGTGTTTCCTGTGTTTCAGGTGTGTTTCCTGTGTGTTTCCTGTGTGTTTCCTGTGTTTCAGGTGTGTTTCAGGTGTATTTCCTGTGTTTTAGGTGTGTTTCCTGTGTTTCAGGTGTGTTTCCTGTGTTTCAGGTGTGTTTCAGGTGTGTCCTGTGTTTCAGGTGTGTTTCCTGTGTTTCAGGTATGTTTCCTGTGTTTGAGGTGTGTTTCAGGTGTATTTCCTGTGTTTCAGGTGTGTTTCAGGTGTATTTCCTGTGTTTTAGGTGTGTTTCCTGTGTTTCAGGTGTGTTTCCTGTGTTTCAGGTGTGTCCTGTGTGTTTCCTGTGTTTCAGGTGTGTTTCCTGTGTTTCAGGTGTGTTTCCTGTGTGTTTCCTGTGTTTCAGGTGTGTTTCAGGTGTGTTTCCTGTGTTTCAGGTGTGTTTCCTGTGTTTCAGGTATGTTTCCTGTGTTTGAGGTGTGTTTCAGGTGTGTTTCAGGTGTATTTCCTGTGTTTCAGGTGTGTTTCCTGTGTTTCAGGTGTGTTTCAGGTGTATTTCCTGTGTTTTAGGTGTGTTTCCTGTGTTTCAGGTGTGTTTCCTGTGTGTTTCCTGTGTTTCAGGTGTGTTTCCTGTGTTTCAGGTGTGTCCTGTGTGTTTCCTGTGTTTCAGGTGTGTTTCAGGATGTATTTCCTGTGTTTTAGGTGTTGTATTCCTGTGTTTCAGGTGTGTTCCTGTGTGTTTCCTGTTGTTTCCTGTGTTTTCAGGGTGTGTTTCAGGTGTATTTCCTGTGTTTTAGGTGTGTTTCCTGTGTTTTCAGGTGTGTTTCCTGTGTTTCAGGTGTGTATTCAGGGTGTGTCCTGTGTGTTCCTCCTGTGGTTTCCTGTGTGTTTCCTGTGTGTTTTCCTGTGTTTCAGGTGGTTTCCTGTGTGGTTTCAGGTGTGTTTCCTGTTGTGTTTCCTGTGTGTTTTCTGTGTTTCAGGTGTGCTTCCTTGTGTTTCCCTGTGTTTCAGGTGTGTTTCCTGTGTTTCAGGTGTGTTTCCTGTGTTTCAGGTGTGTTTCCTGTGTTTCCTGTGTTTCAGGTGTGTTTCCTGTGTTTCCTGTGTTTCAGGTGTGTTTCCTGTGTGTTTCCTGTGTGTTTCCTGTGTGTTTCCTGTGTGTTTCCTGTGTTTCAGGTGTGCTTCCTGTGTGTTTCCTGTGTTTCAGGTGTGTTTCCTGTGTTTCAGGTGTGTTTCCTGTGTTTCAGGTGTGTTTCCTGTGTTTCCTGTGTTTCAGGTGTGTTTCTTGTGTGTTTCCTGTGTGTTTTCCTGTGTTCAGGTGTGTTTCAGGTGTGTCCTGTGTTTCAGGTGTGTTTCCTGTGTGTTTCCTGTGTGTTTCCTGTGTTTCAGGTGTGTTTCAGGTGTGTTTCCTGTGTGTTTCATGTGTGTTTCCTGTGTGTTTCAGGTGTGTTTCCTGTGTGTTTCAGGTGTGTTTCCTGTGTTTCAGGTGTGTTTCAGGTGTGTTTCCTGTGTGTTTCCTGTGTGTTTCCTGTGTTTTCAGGTGTGTTTCCTGTGTGTTTCAGGTGTGTTTCCTGTGTGTTTCCTGTGTGTTTCAGGTGTGTTTCCTGTGTGTTTCCTGTGTGTTTCCTGTGTTTCAGGTGTGTTTCCTGTGTTTCAGGTGTGTTTCCTGTGTTTCAGGTGTGTTTCCTGTGTTTCAGGTGTGTTTCCTGTGTTTCCTGTGTTTCAGGTGTGTTTCCTGTGTTTCAGGTGTGTTTCCTGTGTTTCCTGTGTTTCAGGTGTGTTTCCTGTGTGTTTCCTGTGTGTTTCCTGTGTTTCAGGTGTGGTTTCAGGTGTATTTCCTGTGTTTTAGGTGTGTTTTCCTGTGTTTCAGGTGTGTTTCCTGTGTTTCAGGTGTGTTTCAGGTGTGTCCTGTGTTTCAGGTGTGTTTCCTGTGTTTCAGGTATGTTTCCTGTGTTTGAGGTGTGTTTCAGGTGTATTTCCTGTGTTTCAGGTGTGTTTCAGGTGTATTTCCTGTGTTTTAGGTGTGTTTCCTGTGTTTCAGGTGTGTTTCCTGTGTTTCAGGTGTGTCCTGTGTGTTTCCTGTGTTTCAGGTGTGTTTCCTGTGTTTCAGGTGTGTTTCCTGTGTGTTTCCTGTGTTTCAGGTGTGTTTCAGGTGTGTTTCCTGTGTTTCAGGTGTGTTTCCTGTGTTTCAGGTATGTTTCCTGTGTTTGAGGTGTGTTTCAGGTGTGTTTCAGGTGTATTTCCTGTGTTTCAGGTGTGTTTCCTGTGTTTCAGGTGTGTTTCAGGTGTATTTCCTGTGTTTTAGGTGTGTTTCCTGTGTTTCAGGTGTGTCCTGTGTGTTTCCTGTGTTTCAGGTGTGTTTCCTGTGTTTCAGGTGTGTCCTGTGTGTTTCCTGTGTTTCAGGTGTGTTTCAGGTGTATTTCCTGTGTTTTAGGTGTGTTTCCTGTGTTTCAGGTGTGTTTCCTGTGTGTTTCCTGTGTGTTTCCTGTGTTTCAGGTGTGTTTCAGGTGTATTTCCTGTGTTTTAGGTGTGTTTCCTGTGTTTCAGGTGTGTTTCCTGTGTTTCAGGTGTGTTTCAGGTGTGTCCTGTGTGTTTCCCTGTGTTTCCTGTGTGTTTCCTGTGTGTTTCCTGTGTTTCAGGTGTGTTTCCTGTGTGTTTCAGGTGTGTTTCCTGTGTGTTTCCTGTGTGTTTCCTGTGTTTCAGGTGTGCTTCCTGTGTGTTTCCTGTGTTTCAGGTGTGTTTCCTGTGTTTCAGGTGTGTTTCCTGTGTTTCAGGTGTGTTTCCTGTGTTTCCTGTGTTTCAGGTGTGTTTCCTGTGTTTCCTGTGTTTCCTGTGTTTTCAGGTGTGTTTCCTGTGTGTTTCCTGTGTGTTTCCTGTGTGTTTCCTGTGTTTCAGGTGTGCTTCCTGTGTGTTTCCTGTGTTTCAGGTGTGTTTCCTGTGTTTCAGGTGTGTTTCCTGTGTTTCAGGTGTGTTTCCTGTGTGTTTTCCTGTGTTTCCTGTGTTTCAGGTGTGTTTCCTGTGTTTCCTGTGTGTTTCCTGTGTTTCCTGTGTTTCAGGTGTGTTTCCTGTGTGTTTCCTGTGTGTTTCCTGTGTTTCAGGTGTGTTTCAGGTGTGTCCTGTGTTTCAGGTGTGTTTCCTGTGTGTTTCCTGTGTGTTTCCTGTGTTTCAGGTGTGTTTCAGGTGTGTTTCCTGTGTGTTTCATGTGTGTTTCCTGTGTGTTTCAGGTGTGTTTCCTGTGTGTTTCAGGTGTGTTTCCTGTGTTTCAGGTGTGTTTCAGGTGTGTTTCCTGTGTGTTTCCTGTGTGTTTCCTGTGTGTTTCCTGTGTGTTTCAGGTGTGTTTCCTGTGTGTTTCAGGTGTGTTTCCTGTGTGTTTCAGGTGTGTTTCCTGTGTGTTTCCTGTGTGTTTCCTGTGTGTTTCCTGTGTTTCAGGTGTGTTTCCTGTGTTTCAGGTGTGTTTCCTGTGTTTCAGGTGTGTTTCCTGTGTGTTTCCTGTGTGTTTCCTGTGTGTTTCCTGTGTTTTCAGGTGTGTTTCCTGTGTTTTCAGGTGTGTTTCCTGTGTGTTTCCTGTGTTTCAGGTGTGTTTCCTGTGTTTCAGGTGTGTTTCCTGTGTGTTTCCTGTGTTTCAGGTGTATTTTTTGTGTTTTGTTTGTTGTGTGTTCTTTGCGTTTCAGGTGTGTGTACTTGGTGTGTCAGGTGTGTGTACTTTGTGTGTCAGGTGTGTGTACTTTGTGTGTCAGGTGTGTGTACTTGGTGTGTCAGGTGTGTGTACTTGGTGTGTCAGGCGTGTGTACTTCGTGTGTCAGGTGTGTGTACTTCGTGTGTCAGGTGTGTGTACTTGGTGTGTCAGGTGTGTGTACTTGGTGTGTCAGGCGTGTGTACTTGGTGTGTCAGGTGTGTGTACGTTGTGTGTTTGTACCGATGAGTTGCTGACGTAGCTCTCCTCTGAGATTCTGGTGGGGATCATAGCGGGAGGTGGCGCTCGGCTCGGACAAAACCTGAGAACAGCAGAGCAGAGTTAGTGTTACCACCACAGCCACGTCATGCCTATCACCGAGGATTGTGGGTAATCTGACCTGATCCTGTCCTGGAAGCGCGACAGGAAGGCGGTTGAGATGCTGAGGCGGGGGTTCAGGTAATGTTTCTCATCCGGAGGCAGCAGAGCCCTCAGGTCGGTGTCGAACTTCTCTGAAAGGACAGCGATCAGAAACCCGTCAGAGAACGAGTGAGGAGGCGTCGACGGGCGAGAGTGCCGCAGATTTAACGCCATTGCTCTTAATTAAGTATTTTTTATGTTAACAGGTCTTTAACTTGTGTTTTCAGGTGTTTTTCTTGTGTCAGAATTTGGAGAAAAAGTGAGGATTTTGAGATTTTGAAAAAAAAAGGACACTGCTCAGGAACTAGTTGATGCTCTGTATGTGAGGACTACTTCCATTCTGGAGAGGATCATGAATACATGGATCCTGACCAGCGATACTTTGCTAACATAATAGATGGAGAACGTTCGTTACCGTCGGTCAGACCAGAGGCCAGAGTGTCGAAGTGGATCTTCAGCGAGTCCTCGTCCTCCTCCAAAACCAGACTGCCCACCGAGCTGCCCTGACTCAGTGAGTCCGTGTCTGAGGGAGGAGAGAAAGTACATGAGTCAGCATTATGAGTCCTTTAACCATGTCATGATGAGTCATGAGTCACTATGATCAGTCTTATAACCCTGAAATTAGTCAGCAGTTTTGTGGTTAACAGATTCTCAGGGTTGGGGTAGGTCTGTCTGATGGATGATAAAGTGTTTGCAGTGAAGTTCTCTGACCGGCGTCCTGCTGCTGCTCCAGACTTCCTGCTGAGCCTTCGGAGAGGGCGGAGTCTGGACTCAGCTGGCTGCTCCATATAGGCCCCGCCCCCTTTCTGCTCCACACAGGCTCCGCCCCCTCTCCCTCCAGCCGAGGGTCGGTCACACCCTGCACATCGAACTCTCTGAGAAAACACAGAAACACCCATCATTAGCCGAGGGTACGGAAAGCTTTTTAAAGACAACACTCAACCTCTTCTGCCAATGTACCCAAATGTTTTAGTTTCTTTTCAGGTGTTTTTTTAGTTTTTCCAGGTGTGTATTTTAGGCGCCCCCTTTTTATCTTTTATCAGCTGTGTGTTTTAGGTGTTTTTCGATGCAGGCAAGTTTTCTTACATTTTCAGATGTGTGTTTTTAAGTTTCCGTTGTTGGTTTTTTAACGTTTTCTCAAGTTTTTATTCTTTGCCAGGTGTATATTTTAAGTGTTTTTGAATGCCGGTGTGTTTTTTTAATAGTTTCAGGTGTTTTCTACGTTTTAGGTGCTTCATAAGTGTGTTTTTTTATTCCAGGTTTACTTTGCCAAGTTTCAGGTATGTCCAGTTTACCTCAACCCAAGCGTTTTTCTTTTTTCAGGTGTTTATTTCAAGTTTCAGGTGTGTTTTTTTATAAAGTAAATATGAAAGTAAGATTTACCTGTCGGTGGTGGTGTTGGTGTCGGGGTACAGGATGTAGCTGCTCCTCTTCTCACCTGGATTCTGCAGCACCTGTTGCATTGTGGGAGAATAGTATCCATCAGCAGCAAGCACACACTGGAGTCATTACGATTTTAGAAAATCATGAAAAATACATGGAACACTTCTAATATAACATTCCAGATGTCCCCCTGACTTTCTTTCAAAATGACTTTTACAATTTGATTTTTTTCATAGAATTTGCTTCTCGTTGCTTTTTTTAAGAAGTTGACTTTTACTTCATAATAAAAAAAATTGTGCAATTAAAATGTTTCTAATATTTTCACTTTTATCATAATTTGCCTTTTTTTTAATTCAGAAATTGACTTTTTTCTCATAATTTGCATTTTACCCAGTTTAGCATTTTTTCATATTTGTTTCTCAGAATGTGACTTTTTTTTGCTAAATTTTACATTTTTTTCCAGATATTTGATTTTTTTCATAATTTTCCAGAGATTTAGAATTTTCTCTCAAAATGTACCTTTCATTTTAAATGTTGACTTTTTTCCAGATCTTTGATTTTTTTTGCCTTTTAATTCATAACTAGATTTGTTTCATAGAATCACTTTTTTTCTCCAATATTACATTTTTTTGTTCCGTAAGTAAACAAAAAAAATCCAATGGAGGCGCTGAGCTCACCTCCTCTCCATCTTCCTCCTCCTCTTCCTCCTCCTCTACCAGCAGACTCTCCAGACTCTGAGGGTGGAAGTGTCCCTCCTCTTCCTCCCTCTGCTCCTCCTCTTCCTCCCTCTGCTCCTCCTCTTCCTCCCCAGGACTCTGGGTGGGACTCGGGGAGAAGTTGGAGACGATGTTCAGAGGGTCTCGTTGCTCCGCCCACCGACTCCTCACCTGATGAGGCTCGGCGACTGATTGGACGGCAGCAGAGGCCCCGCCCTGACCATGCTGTCACACACACACACACACAGCATTAAAATCTATCTGAAAACTCATGAGTAATAAAGAGAGTATTTTTTAGATGCTGACCAGTTTCCTGAACCACAGCGGGAGTTTCCCGTTGGTCTGAAGCAGCTGAGCTTCTGAAAAAGATAAGAAATGAAAACATGAAATAAAAAAAACCTCTCAAAATATGACAATTGCTGCAAAAATCTAAAATGATCCGACTTTTATCGACTCAAAATACCCTAGCGTTTGATTCTTAAATAATGAGACGTTTTTTATTTTACGTTTTTCTTTTAAATATCTTTTTACACAAAATATTCTGATTTCCTTTCTTGAAAATTCAGTAATTTCTCTTACTCTTAAAAATTGTAATCTCGTAATTCTATGATATCTTCTGATTCTCAAGATGTTACAACTTTTTTTGCGAATTACAGGAACATTGTTGTTTTTTTAAACCCATCAGATAAATGTAGTGCAGTACGAGTATAAAGTCCTGGTTAAAACTGACCGTGAGCAGAGTCGGGTCTGGAGTCAGGAGTCCCAAGGTCTTCCACTTCCTCCTCTTCCTCCTCTTCCTCCATGTGAGGCAGCTGAGAGGAGGGTCCCGTGATGAAGGTCTCCCTCCTGAAACAACAACACACTCTATATTCCTATAAAACTCACTTAATGGGGAGTGAAGCCAAAATAGCTAAATCTGGATCTTCAGCAAACACTGGGCCGATAACTCAGTGTTTAAACTCCGCCTCCTAGTATAAGCCCCACCCCCAGTGTCAAACCACACTACTAAACCCTGCCCAAAGTACAAGCTCCACCCCAGTCAAACCCCGCCTTCCAGTGTTTAAACTCCGCCTCCTAATATAAGCCCCACCACCAGTGTTAAGCTCCACCCCCTAGAATCACACCCGCCGCAAACCAAGCCATTGAGCAGTTGAAAAAGCGCTCTAATAAAAAATGTAATGAATTATTATTATTATTACAGGCTCCACCCCCAGCGTCAAACCACACCCATAAATATTAAACCCCGCCCACAAATAATTGGAAATAAATCAACTCAGGTTTCAACTTTAAAACGTTTTAGTCAACAGGAAGTGTGCTGGACATTGAAGCTCATTTCCATAGTGGCCAATAGGAGGTACTACATCTCTCACCTGATGCTAGGTAGCTTGCGGCTGCAGGCTTCGGGAGCGGCGGCCATCTTTAGGCCTCGCCTCTTCTTCATGATGCTGGTCATCTGAGAGTCAAGCCTCCAGATAAACACACAACTACACACACACACACACACACACACACACACACACACACACACACACACACACACACACACACACACCACATTAAACACAAGTTAACTTTACCTGTCTCAAGATTAAAGTGAAGTCTACCTGTGTCACCTGTCTCAAGATTAAAGTGAAGTCTACATGTCTCACCTGTCTCAAGATTAAAGTGAAGTCTACCTGTCTCACCTGTCTCAAGATTAAAGTGAAGTCTACCTGTCTCAAGATTAAAGTGAAGTCTACATGTCTCACCTGTCTCAAGATTAAGGCCCCGTCCACACGGAGACGAAACTGATTTCGAACCAAAGTCGATTTCAAAAAAGTCTTCCGTCCACAGGGAATCGGCTCAAGAAACGTGCACGAAAACGCTCGAAACCGCTGGAGACGCTGTAGTACATATGCCGGGCCTGTAAGTGGTGCTATACTTCCGCCACAAAATACACCAAAAGCAGCGAAGAAGACCCCCGAGCATGGGCATAAGGCACAAACAAACAAACTGTAGATTTTGCACTAACATCTGCATCATGGTCAGCAGCGTCCGGAGCACGGAAGCAACCCTGTGATCCGCCATTGTTGTTGTTGTTGTTGTTGACGAAACGCATCAGCAATGACGCGGGTGACGCGGGGGTAAGCTGGAGAGGTGGGGCTATGGCGTCATCGATTCAGGAAAAGATCGTATAGGGCGTACACACGGAGCCGCAAGCGTGTCGTCTCCAGACTTACCCACTTTGGGAGCCGTTATCAAAGTGTATCGGTTTCGGGCTCCGAAGCCGCGGCTCCGTTTCGGCATCCTGTGGACGAACCGTCGATACGATGAAGTACTGTAGCGGATACTGAAATCATCTCCGTGTGGACGGGGCCTAAAGTGAAGTCTACCTGTCTTACCTGTCTCCGGACACAGTGATGAGGTGTTTGCAGTCCTCACTGAACCTCATACAGGTGACGATCTCTAAAGAAATAGAAATCAAACATCAGAAGAAGAGAGACACTCCAGATCCACTGAGAGACTCTCCGACTGATTTTCTCACCTGAGTGTCCGAACAAGGTGGAGACGCACTCTCCGGTCTCGTAGTCGAAGATGGAGATGTTTTTATCTGAGCAGCTGGTGGCGAAGAAGGACCCGGAAGGATCCATCTGAACCTGCAGATCAACACCATGTATCAGCCAATCACAGGGCACAATCAGTACGTCGTTACAGGGCTCAGTAGAATACATGATTCTGATTGGTCCGTGTGGATATTCTGCGGTGTGTTATTTCTGTATAGCAGACTGCTGCACAGAAAGAAGTACGGTCAATTGAATAACCACATTTTTCTGTTACTCCATCAGAAACATGATGGAACACTTTTTTCATTTTCATTTGTATATTACAAAAGGTCTTTACTAGTAGCTTAGGCCTCTTAAAAGGAGGTGCATATCATGAAACCATATTAAGGTCATCTGTTCCAATGTTTTGTATGAGTTACATTCACACTATTTTTCAGGATATGACAATACATAGAGAATTTGATCAGGATCATGTTAACAGAATATTATCAGTTGTTAGACGCTTTTATCCAAAGTGACTTACATACATTCAATACTGTGGGCAATCTCTACAGGAGCAACATTTCAGCTGTCATAAAGGTATATAATGTTATAAAAGTACTGGTTTCAGCTGCTGAACCTGTGACAGATTGATGGATGTAGTGAAGATCAGATAACATAATAATGAGCTAACCTTCAGCAGAGCTCCTTCATCGCTGGACGAGCCTTTCAAACACTTCTTCAGCTTCCCCGTCTCCACGTTATACACCCTAAAAAAAATAAACGTTGAGACTCAACTTATAGTGAGGGCTGGTTCAGACTGACCTGGGACCAGCTGCTAGCTCTGCTGCAATAGACTGAAGACTCTCCTCTTATAGTGAGGGCTGGTTCAGACTGACCTGGGACCAGCTGCTAGTTCTGCTGCTATAGACTGAAGACTCTCCTCTTATAGTGAGGGCTGGTTCAGACTGACCTGGGGCCAGCTCGTAGTTCTGCTGCTATAGACTGAAGACTCTCCTCTTACAGTGAGGGCTAGTTCAGGCTGACCTGGGACCAGCTGCTAGTTCTGCTGCTATAGACTGAAGACTCTCCTCTTACAGTGAGGGCTAGTTCAGGCTGACCTGGGACCAGCTGCTAGTTCTGCTGCTATAGACTGAAGACTCTCCTCTTATAGTGAGGGCTGGTTCAGGCTGACCTGGGACCAGCTGCTAGTTCTGCTGCTATAGACTGAAGACTCTCCTCTTATAGTGAGGGCTGGTTCAGGCTGACCTGGGACCAGCTGCTAGTTCTGCTGCTATAGACTGAAGACTCTACTCTTATAGTGAGGGTTCAGACTGACCTGGGACCAGCTGCTAGTTCTGCTGCTATAGACTGAAGACTCTCCTCTTATAGTGAGGGCTGGTTCAGGCTGACCTGGGACCAGCTCCTAGTTCTGCTGCTATAGACTGAAGACTCTCCTCTTATAGTGAGGGCTGGTTCAGACTGACCTGGGACCAGGTGCTTGTTCTGCTGCTATAGACTGAAGACTCTCCTCTTATAGTGAGGGCTGGTTCAGACTGACCTGGGACCAGCTGATAGTTCTGCTGCTATAGACTGAAGACTCTCCTCTTATAGTGAGGGCTGGTTCAGACTGACCTGGGACCAGCTGCTAGCTCTGCTGCTATAGACTGAAGACTCTCCTCTTATAGTGAGGGCTGGTTCAGGCTGACCTGGGACCAGCTGCTAGTTCTGCTGCTATAGACCGAAGACTCTCCTCTTATAGTTTGGGTTCAGACTGACCTGGGACCAGCTGCTAGTTCTGCTGCTAAAGACTGAAGACTCTCCTCTTATAGTGAGGGCTGGTTCAGACTGACCTGGGACCAGCTGCCAGTTCTGCTGCTATAGACTGAAGACTCTCCTCTTATAGTGAGGGCTGGTTCAGACTGACCTGGGACCAGCTGCTAGTTCTGCTGCTATAGACTGAAGACTCTCCTCTTATAGTGAGGGCTGGTTCAGACTGACCTGGGACCAGGTGCTTGTTCTGCTGCTATAGACTGAAGACTCTCCTCTTATAGTGAGGGCTGGTTCAGACTGACCTGGGACCAGCTGCTAGTTCTGCTGCTATAGACTCTCCTCTTATAGTGAGGCCTGGTTCAGACTGACCTGGGACCAGCTCCTAGTTCTGCTGCTATAGACTGAAGACTCTCCTCTTATAGTGAGGGCTGGTTCAGACTGACCTGGGACCAGCTCCTAGTTCTGCTGCTATAGACTGAAGACTCTCCTCTTACAGTGAGGGCTGGTTCAGACTGACCTGGGACCAGCTCCTAGTTCTGCTGCTATAGACAGAAGACTCTCCTCTTATAGTGAGGGCTGGTTCAGACTGCCCTGGGACCAGCTCCTAGTTCTGCTGCTATAGACAGAAGACTCTCCTCTTATAGTGAGGGCTGGTTCAGACTGACCTGGGACCAGCTCCTAGTTCTGCTGCTATAGACAGAAGACTCTCCTCTTATAGTGAGGGCTGGTTCAGACTGACCTGGGACCAGCTGCTAGTTCTGCTGCTAAAGACTGAAGACTCTCCTCTTATAGTGAGGGCTGGTTCAGACTGACCTGGGACCAGCTGCTAGTTCTGCTGCTATAGACTGAAGACTCTCCTCTTATAGTGAGGGCTGGTTCAGACTGACCTGGGACCAGCTGCTAGTTCTGCTGCTATAGACTCTCCTCTTATAGTGAGGCCTGGTTCAGACTGACCTGGGACCAGCTCCTAGTTCTGCTGCTATAGACTGAAGACTCTCCTCTTATAGTGAGGGCTGGTTCAGACTGACCTGGGACCAGCTCCTAGTTCTGCTGCTATAGACTGAAGACTCTCCTCTTACAGTGAGGGCTGGTTCAGACTGACCTGGGACCAGCTCCTAGTTCTGCTGCTATAGACAGAAGACTCTCCTCTTATAGTGAGGGCTGGTTCAGACTGACCTGGGACCAGCTCTTAGTTCTGCTGCTATAGACAGAAGACTCTCCTCTTATAGTGAGGGCTGGTTCAGACTGACCTGGGACCAGCTCCTAGTTCTGCTGCTATAGACAGAAGACTCTCCTCTTATAGTGAGGGCTGGTTCAGGCTGACCTGGGACCAGCTGCTAGTTCTGCTGCTATAGACTGAAGACTCTCCTCTTATAGTGAGGGCTGGTTCAGACTGACCTGGGACCAGCTGCTAGTTCTGCTGCTATAGACTGAAGACTCTTCTCTTATAGTGAGGGCTGATTCAGACTGACCTGGGACCAGCTGCTTGTTCTGCTGCTATAGACTGAAGACTCTCCTCTTATAGTGAGGGCTGGTTCAGACTGACCTGGGACCAGCTCCTAGTTCTGCTGCTATAGACTGAAGACTCTCCTCTTATAGTGAGGGCTGGTTCAGACTGACCTGGGACCAGCTGCTTGTTCTGCTGCTATAGACTGAAGACTCTCCTCTTACAGTGAGGGCTGGTTCAGACTGACCTGGGACCAGCTCTTAGTTCTGGTGTTTCTTGTTTCTCACCTGATGTTTCGGTCCTGGCAGGCGATGGCGACGTGAGTCCGGGTTGAATCCAGGTCCATGTCGTACAGCGTGGTTTTCTCCACCACGTGGTGACTCCTGGAGAACAACGGACCCTCGGCCGTCTGCAGAGAACACATCACACACGGAGGATTTGTGAATAACTTACACGTTATTACAATCATAAACACACTTCAGAAAAACACTTCCAATATTTGTCCATAACTCTGCCCGCTGTGGATCAGCGTAAATCCTATGCCAGACCTTCAGTCACGATATTATATATTTAAAAAAAGCAATATCTGCAGAAGTAACAAATACTTTCTCTAGAATTTAGTTTTTCAGATGTTAAGACTGAACGAGAAGGTTTTATTATTCTAATGTATGGTCGCAAAGGCTATGAGAATTATGTAATGTGCAAAGAAAACACATGCACACGTCTGCTTCTGTGACAAAATCATTTCCCAATAAAGTGTCTATCCATCTATGTATATACTAAATCAATAAATAAATATATATATTTCGTAAAGATGTGTCCCCGATTGAAGCATTTCTGAACCCTTCAGTGTGTGCAGACCTGCTCGGCGGTCTGGAAGTAGATGCTTTTGTCGGCTCCACAGCTCACCATTCGGACCTCCGGACTCTCACCTGGAGCGCAGGTCAAAAGAAAAAATAACCAACCATGTTGCCAAATATCCAGAAACCAAACGCCTGCTTCCCACTCCAACAGTTTATAACACATTACAGCCTGATAATGACAGCTGAACGTTCTCTATATCGCCTCGTTCACACATTCAATCAACAATACAACTACAGATTCTACATTTCCTTCCTATGAGATTGGAAGAGCTCAGGTTTTACACCTCTCATGAAATGTAGACTACATTTATCACGGAGTTTATGTCCAACAGACTCTCCGATCGTTTTACTGAGAGAAATGCCAAATGCATGTAGTACGACACAACGCTGTGGATTTTCTAAACTAAATCCAGTAAAAGCTTTGGTTGCAGGCATAAGTTTAATATGAATTCAATAATTAAACACAAGTTAATTATTTACACTGTTCCATTTATTTAGCATTGTTTACGCACTCATTGACTGCGTGTCTCTGTTGCTCCTATACTACTCATTTTTAAACAATTTGAGAAACACTTTGAATTTATTATATAATAAATTCAAATGGGAAATTGTACCAATATACTCACGGACCACTAGGGGTCGCTCAAACACTGTCTTAGAAGCGTGTGATGATGGGAGGGGGGTTACCTGTGAACTTGATGGCAGTGATGGAGGCCGAGTGGTCGCTCAGCGTCTGCTCCAGGCTGTAGTTCTTCTCCAGGTTGAAGACGTGGATCAGTCTGTCTCTGCTGGCCGACGCCAACAGCTTCACACCTGCAACATCAACAACAACAACAGCTTCACACCTGTAACGACAACAGCTTCACACCTGAGGCCTGTACTACAAAGCAGGATTTTCGTTTAGCAAGCTAACTTCCTGGATTTCCGGTCCTACGAAGCTGGTTCACTTTTTAGCAGGCTAGATAACTTATTCTGAACGGCTAGCCTCCGGAGCAGGATAGGTTCCAGGATAAAAGCACTGCCTGCTGACCAATCAGAGCTCCGTGTGCGGAGTTTAAAGCGATCAAGTCATATTACAGGATAGAGGAAATACAGAAAAACTGCCGTTGCAGGAAAGACGGCCGGCAAAAATCAACTGACTGTGTGAACGTGAACATTAATAGAATATCCCCTCCTATCTTCAGAGCAATCTGACTATTATAACATTAGCGTTAAGAAAGCTTACTTAAATATCTGCCACAACATAAGTAACCGGATCAGAGTAACATTACGTACAGTCCGCGGCACTGTGAGTGCAGACGTCGATGTGTCCCATTATCATTCATATCATATCACATCATAATGTATCATATATTTCCTTATCTGAGTCAGCTGAGCCGTATCTGGCCGTGCAACACTCACAGTGTCACATACTGTATGCAGAAGTATTATTTTAAGCAACACATTAAGTTGACGAAACACTCGAGTCAAATGTAATTAAAGTCAGATCGTGTCTTGGACGGGGCAGTGATTTCATAAACCTGTTAATGTACGCATTCAAACACTTTCTCTGTTACCAGCTGTATTCACCTTGCAGGTGCAGCTATGTGGCTTTGATCCTGGATAAAGTGTTGAAGACATGGATGTTTAAAGTTTAACTTCTTCATATTTGACTAATATTAAAGTTCACTTTTCATTCAGGAAGTATGACGCTGCGCTGTCAGTACGCTTGTCCATGTTTGTGATTGGTCAAATGTTGCTAGCCCCGCCCCTTTCATGTGAACGTGCACTCAGCCGGACAGAGAAACCCTGGGTTGATAACCAGCGTCGTAGGACCGCTTAGCGAGAGCGCGTTTGTTTGGGGTTAGTTAAGCCGGGTAACTCTAACAGATCCAGGGTCTGTACGACGCCGGTTATCAACTCGTTAACTTCAATCTGTGTGAGTCTGTCCTGTTTTTCATTCTCACCCTGTTGTTGTTTAAACTACTGAATTTCCCCACAGGGATTAATGAAGGTCCATCTGATCTTATCAATATAAACAGTGCAAACCTAATGTGAGCTGTTTGTACCTGAGCTGCCGTACAGGGAGGTCAGAGGGATGACCTTTGACCCGAGCTCTTACCTGAGCTGCAGTACAGTGAGGTCAGAGGGTTGACCTTTGACCTGAGCTCTTACCTGTGGAGATCGGGGAAAACTCCAGACACAAAACCTCAGAGTCATGAGCCTCGATCTTCACCAGCTCGTCCAGGAACTCCAGACCAAAGATCCTGAGCACAGAAACACGTCATCTTCCTCATCATCGTCCTCATCATCATCTTCCTCATCATCATCTTCCTCATCATCAAAGCTAACTCACTGCTACATAGTTTGAGTTTCTCCTTTCTTATAAAAGACCTGTAGTATTTTGGATCATGTTGTATTTTTGACTTTTTATTTTAGATATCCAGAATATATCCATCTATCGTGTGTATGTGTGTGTGTGTGTGTGTGGTCTCTCACCGCAGGTTTCCGCAGCGGTCTCCAGCTGCCAGGTGCTTCCCATCAGGACTGACTCCCAGGACTCTGATTCCTGCCTTCCCATCAGCCCCTGCTTCCCCCCCCTCGGCCTGCAGGTGCTGCATGTTCTCCCCGACGTACACGATCCGCAGCAGGTCCTGAAACACACAGGAGGTCGACAGGAAGTCAACAGGAGGTCAACAGGAGGTCAACAGGAGGTCGACAGGAAGCCAACAGGAGGTCAACAGGAAGCCAGAAAACACCGTAGAGTCCTTCACCTGTACACCTGTAGAGCCGTCTACTTTTCAACTCATACACTTGTAGCCTCCTTCAATTTTAAACTCCTTAACTTGTGAACTCAACATTTGTAGACTTGTATCCTTATACACTTGTATAAATCTACAGGCGTTTATTACTACACCTGCTGTAGATTTATACACTTGTAAACTCCAACACTTGTAGACTCCTACACTTATACACTTGTAGACTCCTACACGTATACACTTGTAGACTCCTACACTTATACACTTGTAGACTCCTACACGTATACACTTGTAGACTCCTACACGTATACACTTGTAGACTCCTACACGTATACACTTGTAGACTCCTACACGTATACACTTGTAGACTCCTACACTTATACACTTGTAGACTCCTACACTTATACACTTGTAGACTCCTACACTTATACACTTGTAGACTCCTACACTTGTAGACTCCTACACTTTTACACTTGTAGACTCCTACACGTATACACTTGTAGACTCCTACACTTATACACTTGTAGACTCCTACACTTATACACTTGTAGACTCCTACACTTATACACTTGTAGACTCCTACACGTATACACTTGTAGACTCCTACACTTATACACTTGTAGACTCCTACACTTATACACTTGTAGACTCCTACACTTATACACTTGTAGACTCCTACACTTATAGACTCCTACACTTATACACTTGTAGACTCCTACACTTATACACTTGTAGACTCCTACACTTATACACTCCTACACTTATACACTTGTAGACTCCTACACTTATACACTTGTAGACTCCTACACTTATACACTCCTACACGTATACACTTGTAGACTCCTACACTTATACACTTGTAGACTCCTACACTTATACACTTGTAGACTCCTACACTTATACACTTTTAGACTCCTACACTTATACACTTGTAGACTCCTACACTTATACACTCCTACACTTATACACTTGTAGACTCCTACACTTAAACACTTGTAGACTCCTACACTTATACACTCCTACACTTATACACTTGTAGACTCCTACACTTTTAGACTGCTACACTTTTAGACTCCTACACTTATACACTTGTAGACTCCTACACTTATACACTTGTAGACTCCTACACTTATACACTTGTAGACTCCTACACGTATACACTTGTAGACTCCTACACGTATACACTTGTAGACTCCTACACGTATACACTTGTAGACTCCTACACTTATACACTTGTAGACTCCTACACGTATACACTTGTAGACTCCTACACTTATACACTTGTAGACTCCTACACTTTTAGACTCCTACACTTTTAGACTCCTACACTTATACACTTGTAGACTCCTACACTTATACACTTGTAGACTCCTACACGTATACACTTGTAGACTCCTACACGTATACACTTGTAGACTCCTACACTTATACACTTGTAGACTCCTACACGTATACACTTGTAGACTCCTACACGTATACACTTGTAGACTCCTACACTTTTAGACTCCTACACTTTTAGACTCCTACACTTATACACTTGTAGACTCCTACACTTATACACTTGTAGACTCCTACACTTATACACTTGTAGACTCCTACACTTATACACTTGTAGACTCCTACACGTATACACTTGTAGACTCCTACACGTATACACTTGTCGACTCCTACACGTATACACTTGTAGACTCCTACACGTATACACTTGTAGACTCCTACACTTATAGACTCCTACACGTATACACTTGTAGACTCCTACACGTATACACTTGTAGACTCCTACACTTATACACTTGTAGACTCCTACACTTATACACTTGTAGACTCCTACACTTATACACTTGTAGACTCCTACACGTATACACTTGTAGACTCCTACACGTATACACTTGTAGACTCCTACACGTATACACTTGTAGACTCCTACACTTATACACTTGTAGACTCCTACACTTATACACTTGTAGACTCCTACACTTATAGACTCCTACACTTATACACTTATAGACTCCTACACTTATACACTTGTAGACTCCTACACTTATAGACTCCTACACTTATACACTTGTAGACTCCTACACTTATACACTTGTAGACTCCTACACTTATACACTTGTAGACTCCTACACTTATACACTTGTAGACTCCTACACTTATACACTTGTAGACTCCTACACGTATACACTTGTAGACTCCTACACTTATACACTTGTAGACTCCTACACTTATACACTTGTAGACTCCTACACTTTTAGACTCCTACACTTTTAGACTCCTACACTTATACACTTGTAGACTCCTACACTTATACACTTGTAGACTCCTACACTTATACACTTGTAGACTCCTACACGTATACACTTGTAGACTCCTACACTTATACACTTGTAGACTCCTACACTTATACACTTGTAGACTCCTACACGTATACACTTGTAGACTCCTACACTTATACACTTGTAGACTCCTACACTTATACACTTGTAGACTCCTACACTTATTACACTTGTAGGACTCCTACACGTATACACTTGTAGACTCCTACACTTATACACTTGTAGACTCCTACACTTATACACTTGTAGACTCCTACACTATACACTTGTAGACTCCTACACTTATACACTTGTAGACTCTACACTTATACACTTGTAGACTCCTACACTTATAGACTCCTACACTTACACTTATAGACTCCTACACTTATACACTTGTAGACTCCTACACTTATAGACTCCTACACTTATACACTTGTAGACTCCTACACTTATACACTTGTAGACTCCTACACTTATACACTTGTAGACTCCTACACTTATACACTTGTAGACTCCTACACTTATAGACTCCTACACTTATACACTTGTAGACTCCTACACTTATACACTTGTAGACTCCTACACTTATAGACTCCTACACTTATACACTTATAGACTCCTACACTTATACACTTGTAGACTCCTACACTTATAGACTCCTACACTTATACACTTGTAGACTCCTACACTTATACACTTGTAGACTCCTACACTTATACACTTGTAGACTCCTACACTTATACACTTGTAGACTCCCTACACTTATACACTCCTAGACTCCTACACGTATACACTTGTAGACTCCTACAACTTATAACACTTGTAGACTCCTACACTTATACACTTGTAGACTCCTACACTTTTAGACTCCTACACTTTTAGACTCCTACACTTATACACTTGTAGACTCCTACACTTATACACTTGTAGACTCCTACACTTATACACTTGTAGACTCCTACACGTATACACTTGTAGACTCCTACACTTTTACACTTGTAGACTCCTACACGTATACACTTGTAGACTCCTACACTTATACACTTGTAGACTCCTACACTTTTAGACTCCTACACTTGTAGACTCCTACACTTATACACTTGTAGACTCCTACACTTTTACACTTGTAGACTCCTACACTTTTACACTTGTAGACTCCTACACTTATACACTTGTAGACTCCTACACTTATACACTTGTAGACTCCTACACTTATACACTTGTAGACTCCTACACTTATACACTTGTAGACTCCTACACTTATACACTTGTAGACTCCTACACTTATACACTTGTAGACTCCTACACTTATACACTTGTAGACTCCTACACTTATACACTTGTAGACTCCTACACTTATACACTTGTAGACTCCTACACGTATACACTTGTAGACTCCTACACTTATACACTTGTAGACTCCTACACTTATACACTTGTAGACTCCTACACGTATACACTTGTAGACTCCTACACTTATACACTTGTAGACTCCTACACGTATACACTTGTAGACTCCTACACTTATACACTTGTAGACTCCTACACTTATACACTTGTAGACTCCTACACTTATACACTTGTAGACTCCTACACGTATACACTTGTAGACTCCTACACTTATACACTTGTAGACTCCTACACTTATACACTTGTAGACTCCTACACTTATACACTTGTAGACTTATACACTTGTAGACTCCTACACTTATACACTTGTAGACTCCTACACTTATACACTTGTAGACTTATACACTTGTAGAATCCTACACTTATACACTTGTCGACTCCTACACTTATACACTTGTAGACTCCTACACTTATACACTTGTAGACTCCTACACTTATACACTTGTAGACTCCTACACTTATACACTCCTACACGTATACACTTGTAGACTCCTACACGTATACACTTGTAGACTCCTACACTTATACACTTGTAGACTCCTACACTTTTACACTTGTAGACTCCTACACGTATACACTGTCGACTCCTACACCTTATACACTTGTAGGACTCCTACACTTATACACCTTGTAGACTCCCTACACGTATACACATTGTAGGACTCCTACACTTATACACTTGTAGACGTCCTACATCTTATACACTTGTAGACTCCTACACTTTTACACTTGTAGACTCCTACACGTATACACTTGTCGACTCCTACACTTATACACTTGTAGACTCCTACACTTATACACTTGTAGACTCCTACACGTATACACTTGTCGACTCCTACACGTATACACTTGTAGACTCCTACACGTATACACTTGGTAGACTCCTACACTTATACACTTGTAGACTCCTACACGTATACACTTGTAGACTCCTACACGTATACACTTGTAGACTCCTACACGTATACACTTGTAGACTCCTACACTTATACACTTGTAGACTCCTACACTTATACACTTGTAGACTCCTAGCACTTATACACTTGTAGACTCCTTACACTTATAGACTCCTACACTTATACACTTAGTAGACTCCTACACTTATACACTTGTAGACTCCTACACTTATAGACTCCTACACTTATACACTTTAGACTCCTACACTTA